TACACTGGAGAGAAAGACCACAAAAATCCCAACTGTTTACTTCTGTTTGTCAAAATACCATTTAACGCTTTGGGAGGAAATGGATTGCGTATCCTCTCCATCCATCTGGGATGCTAAGAATCAGAACAACGGGAGCAAACAAAACTATTACAGTGCTAAATTGTCCGCAGAGGAAAGCAAGCTCTTTTTCCTACTCTGTTAGTCTGTATTGCTTAGAGACCAACTTATTTTGATTAAGAAGTTCGAGAAAGTGGAAAACACTGGCTTGAATAGTTACTTAACATCCTCTAATATCAGTTAGTATGGAACTTTTCTCAATGAATTTAGTTAAGGCTGTTTTTAAATTGGAAAAAGGGACGATCATAATGACGTGTTCTGAATTTAAAGTTGTCTTAAGATTAGTTATATTTTAAACAAAAAGAGGAAATCCTCTTTCCAATACTGTGGAAGTTCTCACTCAGGTTGGATATCAGACCAGTAAGCAGTAATGTCCTACAAGAAGAAAGGAGGGAGAGAGACGTAATGTGTGGGGAGTGGGAGAGGACAGAATTGTGGCTTTTTCTGGCCAAATAAGTAATTTTTACATTCCTCTTCTTATCCCTATCTTGTGCCTGCTCGTAAGTTCTGCAAAGTTTTGATTTGTTATTAACTATAGTTATTGGCTGAATATAAAATCTGAATCAGCTCTCCAAAAGCTACAACACATGATCACTGTTTCTCAACCAGGGGGATAACATCCTGATATGTGAAAGCATTAGAGGGCCTTTTGAGTTGGCACAACGACCAGAGTGCTACTAACATTTAGAGCCAGGAGGCAGGGAAGCCGAATGTTTGCAATAGCCCTCTACTAGGAAGAATTGTGCCAACCAAGATGCCTACGTGCCTTTGTTGAGAAACACTGGAAGACGATTCCAAAGCATCATACCGAAGATGGTAAAACGTGACCTTAGAGCTGACTGAAGTGGTCCAACAAATGCGGAGAGTAAGGGCCAGCAAGGTAGGGGGCATGACTCCAGCCAGGAAGAGGGGAACGTGGCTGTGCCAGGCCTGACTGTCCGGGGCTCTTTCTGCTCCGCCACACGCATTCTCACAAAGCCCTTGACATAGATAGCTCTGTGCAAGTTCTCGTGACGCCTGCATTCTAAGAGCTGTGTGTTCTCCTCCACGAAGTGACGTCAGGACGCACTTTGGGAACAGAACTGGATGAATAGTCTTAACAGAGGCCCCAATTCCCTCATTAAGAAGGAAACACCAAACGGAGCAAGTTGAGCTTTCCTTCCAATACTTTTTAGACAATCATTTCAAATAACCTGCTTCTTTACGGCAACTACCTATGTAACATTAAACTGCACAAACACTGACCTGTCTCTTTAGCAATCTCGACTTGTTTGCTGCCCTCATGTTCCTTAGCGCAATTTTCTTGATAACAATGAATGATTTGATACATACGTCACGTAGAGGATATTAAAATCTATTCCTGAGGCTTGAGTTCCCAGGGAGAGTGCAATTATCCACGTGTGCTTGGGCCTTGAAGCCACAACAGGGTATTGGAGGTACAGACAACTTAGGTGTCTACCAAGGTTGCGTTAAGCCCCAAGGCAAATTCTTGGGGACTAAATGTGCACTTGGGGTTCTGGGGCCTGCTCCCCCTGCAGTTCCTTGCATAGGTAGGATAGCATTTCAGGCACCAGCACTGCCTCTCTTCCAGTCCTTCCCACATAAAGTGGGAGGGGCGGGAACACAGACCAGATAACCTCGAGGTTACTACCTGGCTGAGAACAAGGAACGGTATAGACTTCAGTAAGCATGCGAGTTACGAGGATTGTAATGAAATGGCCTCCACCAAATGCACTGGTCTCAAAAGGGTCTAAAAGGACACTCTCCTTTCTATTGGGATACTGGCCAATAGCTGCCATTAAGATTTAAAACCTTTTCTACATAACCCATTAACCTACCAATATCAATTCACAGAATTACGTCAACCAAAAATGTGATGCTACCCAACCGCTTCCCCCACCTCCCCGAGAATTGGTAATACAGACAGCTGTGCATTGGTTATAAACTTCACACATATGCATCTTGTGGGGTAGGCTTGTGTTTAGTAGCACCTTTCAGCTGCGATTTAAAGTCATTTTACAGACCAAGAGATTTATCAAGGGAAAAATGTGGTTTTATTCTTAGGCAGTTATACCAATATATGTGTGTGCGTGTGTGCACGTGCGCACATAGGCATGTGTGTTGTATATCAGTACATATATATGTATATATTTCACTTGTTCTCTTAAAAATAGCAAAAAAAAAAAACCCCTAAATTCAGTCATCACTCACAAAAAAAAAAAAAAAAAATCCACCTCCTTTGCTTTCCTAAATCAATTCCACTTTTCTTTTTCTGTTTCAATTAAACCCGGACATTTGTCAAGGCCAGTTATGAAAGCCAAGAATGGGGACTATACAGTGTTCCAACCAGGAGGCTCTACTGTCTGTGCACATTGTCAAATATCTCCCAATCCCAAGGGCACCACCTCACCACTGCACAGGAATATCTTATAAAACAAATGTACCTCTCTCTACAGCAACAAGCAAGTACTAGGGTCATCTCTCTGAATATGTCTCCTACAACTTTCTCCACTATCTGCCTCCGAAAAAGGCTAAGATTACTGTTACTTACCACAACACGAAACTTTCCAAAAGCCACCCATGCCAGCATACCACTTCTCAGAAGAACCCTCTAGTTGTGTATAATTTAATAAAACTGACCATGTAGGATAATGCTGTTTATTAAAAATATATTCAGGGAGAAGGAAGTCAGTGCATTTATGCAATTTTACATACACATCTGTAGTTTGAGGTTCCATTATTCCAACAGTTCATATAAATCACTGTTTCAGATAAGAGAAAAAATTGCTTTACACAGGAGATCAGCAATTGGTTATAGGTTTGGTAATATGAGTAGGCTTGTTGTAAAAATAAAACCACCTCTTCCATTATTAAAGAATGTCTCCTTTATGCAGAACAAGTCTTTAGAGTTAAGAACTTTTTCTTGCATAAGAATTAACTTCAAGTTCTTGGAAAACAGCCAATCCTTCGTTTCCTATAAATATAAATGCTCTATTTTGTCTGGAATTTTCTTTGAGGTAACAAAGGAAGCATTCTCCGTGATTTGTCACTAGATTATCCTTTCCCCTGTATGCCAACTACTGCAACGTCAACCCTAAGACTCAGACACACGCATTGCTCAGAGAAGTAGAAATACAGAGTATGACATTTCCAAACAATGTTCTTATTACAGTAGGGAGAAGAAAATGGGTCAAAAAACAAAGCCTAAGATAAATGAATTAAAGGCTTGATCATCTTTGCTAATGAAGAATGAAGAGCACCCAGAATCCCCCAAAAGGATTGGGTTTCTGAATGCACTATTGTGTCTTTCCCCAGCAAGTCTCCTTTCTTAATCACATTTTTTTCTTGGGGTATCAGCGACATTCCCTTCTCCTGAGCTCATACTCACTGATGGGAATCGGGAGCACAGCCTCAACACCCGATGAACTAGAGGGAAGACAAACTTACAATTCACTGGCGATAATCCTTACTGCAGAAAATCAAGAGTTGGATCTAATTTCTTGGATGCAGAAGTTGAGGCTCTGTCCCTCGGCTGTGTGGCCTCTGTGCACAGGACGCCCTGGGAAGTAACTCCAGAACAGGAAGTGACTGTCAGTCAGTCAGCTGCCCGCTCCTTTTCATCTTACGTACCCAACAGCCAAGTGCAGGAAAGAGGGACTTGAGGACACTACCTTCTTCATAGAATGCTAAGGTGAAAGAAAGTTCTCGATCACTACACACACACGGGAACCAGAGCTGAAGCACGGGAAGAGAGAAATCTGTATCCTTACAATGAGGAGCTGTGTGGAAGGCTTCTGCTGGGTTTGGCTAAGGCATCTAGAACTCTCTCCACATCTGTTCCCAGTTAAGACTACCTAGAACTTACAATTCACTTTTTGGGGGACTGGGAGGAGGGGATTACTAAATTTAACTACCTCTTCTTTCCTTCTTAAAGTGAAATACTTAAAAATATGTTCTCATATACAAAGTAGATGAAATTAGAATTATTTAAATAACACAGTCGGTGTTAGCTGTGACAAACATCTGACTGACTCCATCTCAGCAAAAATTAAAGGACAACAGAATCTCAGTCACTACTCAACTGTCTATGTGTGTAAAGCATACTGAGGAATTAGTGCTTGTTGACAGGATTACTAAGCAAACGAATTTAAGGCATAACTGGAATAACAGCAAAGGAAGTTTATGATTTTTCCCTACGATGCAGTATTAAGGCCTCTGCCAAGAGAGATTGCTTTAAAATGGGAAGTCTTCCTGTCCCTAACTAACAGAGGGTCCCACATATTAAGAGTAAGCTAAAGACTAAACTTTTAAACAGATAACTACTGACTTCGAAATACTCAAGCTCCAGAGTTTGATTCAAAACAATCAAATGTACTCATTAGATGCTGAAATCATGAGGCCAAATCTGCCCGGGGCCACAATATGGATAAAATGTCAAATACAGATATTTTAATATGAGACATTACTTAGTTTATACATGTCTAAATTTTAACATAGAACCCTTTAAAAAGTGAGGAACAAAATGCTATGTTCATGCAAAAATCTTTGTGCTTAGTTTGTAAAAAGGTATCAGAACAGTTTAAAACAAACTGGCTCATTCCTGAACACTAATTTCGCTTGATTCAACGGCTCAGCTCCTACGCCGTCTATGTTGTAACAGCAGAAAAGTAACCCCCTTCTTCGATTTCAAGGTAAAGCTGCTCCCTTGCCAGAGCCTCTGCAAGAGCAGGGAGACACGCTCCGAGCTCCTCTTAACGGCTCTGTGTCACTTCCTGGGGGCGCTGCCCAAGTTCACTGTGAAGAGGGGATGCTCCATACAAGGCCATTTAAGTGTAAAATGACAAAAGAATCTAAATAGAACAAGCTGCCAAGTTTCTTTTTTAGTGGTGGGATAGGGAACAAGGGGCTTCTACATAAATACGACTTTGGAACAGTCAGGAAAACAGAAGAAAATTGATTTCTCAAAGTTCAATAAAAAAACAATTAGCTCATCTCATTTTCAAAGACGAATTATGGAAATTCTCTCAAATTTATGCAACAAGCTTAATTTTGAACCTTAGAAAGGAAGGAATCTCCTCCCATTTTCTTTCCATATTTTATGTTCTTCAAGTTGCTATTACAAATTCTTTGAATACTGAAATCAGCCATGACTCAAATCATGGTGATATGGTGATTTACTTGCACTGAAATACATCTACACAATTGAAAGTGATGCATACAGCACAGAACTATAAACAAAAAGGTGAAGCAGATTTTTTTTTATTTTCAGGTAAAAACATTAACCTGATGGATTATTGCAGATTTGAGAAATCAGCACATAAGACAAGTGGACAGAGCATTGCTTACAGGTGCTTTTATCTGTGTCGAGGCGAAGGCTGAACTGTTTGTCCCAAGTTAGCGCTGGGAGGAGGGGGAGAGGAGAATGGAATAAAGAAAGACGATGAACAAAAACTTGAAACCAAGAACAAGGGAGAAAACAATTCTTTTACTCCAACAGGGAATGAAAACTGCTAATTGTGTTTAAAACTTTAAATCAAATCAAAATGCTCTGGCCATAAAATAATAAATACCGGCCAGCCCATGCTGTAGACTTTGTGACCTATACAAAAGAAATGAATGAGCTTTCCTTGCCTCCACTCCAGAGGCTGATGTTGCCAGAATCACTGTGTCAACTGTCCTAGTGTGTCACTGGTACAAGGCCAGTAATACCCTACAACTATGTCAAAACTAAGCTACAAGAAAAGTCTACCTAGTTACTACAGCTGAATTATATTGACAATATATTTCAATTCAATGAATTTTAAATTATATCTTAATTTGAGAGAGAACACGGACCAACAGAAACCCATGGCTAGCGAGAACGTAACAACTGTGAGTGTTGTATACAATAAACTGTGTGAACTGCACAGACAACACATGGATCAGGGAGGGAAAATTAGAGCAAGTGAAAAGCACACGGAGCTAACCTACTACACTGTATTTGTCAAATACACGTGAGCTTCAATTTCTGTACTTATGTACAAGAGTTGTCTTTGGAGGAAACAAATCTGCAGACTTAGCTAGATGGATACACACAGCCCAGAATTAAACTGCACAGCGACATTTATTGTTTCAGCCTGGAAAAACATCCCTTTTTTAAATTTCACACAGCAAAGCAAGTTAAAAACTTCACTCATCAAATAAATGATAACTTAAACAAGAACTTGCTAAAGAAACCTCATCACAACAATGTTTTAGGGCCTGATCACTTTAAGTCCATGGGGCCATTAATGAATATCAACCAAGTGTCTCTTTTATAATCTGCAAGCCGTTTTTCCTACAACAAGAAGGCGTAACATGTTTCCTTGACTCAGGTGATACATTTAGAAAAGAAATCATGATTTTCTTCTTTTGCTGTTATCAGCAGACACTGCATTCTCGCTGTGATCAGGAAAGATGGAACGACTGCTGCCCTTCCCTTGCTGCTATCAACAGTTTTTCACGCATTATCTCAATGCTCGAATAGTCCGGCAACTTAAGATAGTTCACACACGTCATTACAGAGGGTAAGAAGTCATCTGGGTTTTCTGTTGATTCGAATGTCTTCCGGACAATTGTTAAAGGTGGATTCAAACTCCGGAAGCCTGATTGAGAGGGAAGGAAGACAGACCAAAGAACTTAGTAAGCTTACAGGACACATACCAGCTGGCTCAGAGAAAAACATTTTCTCATCTGTGAGAACAATCAGTCTGTAATCACAAGTATCCCCTTTTTTATGCTATTATCAGAAACATTACACTGCTCTGCTGTATAATATTATCCCCCACACAAAGTATTCTTTCTTGCTTGGTAATTATACCTACACAATCAATACACATTTAGTGTATGGAATCTGGTACCTGCTTTATTTAACATAAAAAGTCATTGTATAACATGGAAGCAAACAGTTCTTTATGCCTTCTGACTTTTAAAATAGATTACCAATTCAACTCCTATTAGGACTCTTTCTGAAAAACCAGACTTTAGAATGCATTCTCATCTAAGTCATCTAAGAGTTTATAATGTACAGATGCTTGAGAATTTGGATTTTATCTAGAAAAACAGCATTACATGTGCATTAGTAACCCTACTTCAACGTATTTAAGACAATTCCTATGAATTCCCCTGCCAGCGATCTCTCTTAATATACTCCAAAACAAATTAAACACTTAGAAACATTATGATATTGGAATAACTAAAGGGCACTCTAAGTCAAATAAAGAATATCCAGCTACTGATACTGAAGTCTCACCCACACACATATACGCCCACCCACAGTTAGAATAAACGCCAGGAATCAACATCATACCCACCTCCAACAGGCAATCTTGGGCTACCTGTCACAAACTGGAGAAATAACCTCTGTTGCTCATTATCAAAACTACTGAGAATCTCAAACAAGAACTTGACAGCCCGACTATAACAGAAAGAAATACACCAAAATTATTCCATCATTTTAAAATGCAGTTTTGAATCACACCACATGACTGACCCTCACAATTAGCTAGAGACTATCAAATTCAAATATGACTACATATGAATTCACATTACAATGCACTCTGAAATCAAATTTGTTTCTGTTGTTACAGCTGGAATTCAAATGCAATGATTACTATTGTGATAAATAAGACTTGTCTGGGATTGCACAGATATTTCCATTTTATTATATATAAAATCTGTATTCTACCCTTTCCCCCTCCCCACCCATTTTCACAGAAATACTTCAAAAAGAACCCTGTGGGTCCTGAAGTTGTAGTTTTGAGAGAAATAAGGCCAAAATATCAGAAAGCCTTCTTTAATAGGTAGACCAATTTTAAAATGACCCTCCTCCCTTGTTGTGGTTTATGAAATATATATATGCATCACCACAGTCTTGACTACCAACTGAAAACCTGGCGGCTCCCAGTACTCACCTGTCATGCGTATAACCGTGATCTGGCCTGCAGCATTCCATCAGTGTCTTTGCATCCCAAGTGTCTGCTTTACTGCCACACAGGAGCTGATCCAGCTGTGTGTTGAAACAAGGGTAATGAGTTATTAAGACATAGCTGCATAACTGAGGACAATGCATACAACATGCTCCGTTTTGTAGAATGCCATATGAACGTCTACATGTACCAAAGAAGAGTATCATTATCAAAACCTTCTGCTCAGGCCCTCTTTATATAATGTGCTCTTCTACTGTATGTATAGATTCAACCTCCTCCTCAGTTGCACATGAATAGGTACCCTGCCCATGTGCAGGGACTAGGTTCTAGAGAAGCCTTTCATCTCAAACAAAACCTACAAACCCTAGATTTGAGTTTTCCTAACTCTTCTCATTTCTTTAGAGGCTTTAACTTGATAGCCTACTTCTAACCAGGAAGATTTTATAAATCCTGGCTTTTAGAAACACAAGGGTACACAATAACAGAAGCCAAGAAACAGAATACTGAGCTGGAGAGAGAAGCGGGAGAAGAAAGTCCAACTGAGACATAGCAGACGGGTGGGTTTTCACACTTTGTAAAGAGAGGCACATCTATGCCATATGGTTGTTTGGGGTTGGATGGGAACCAAGCTAGCCATTACAGAAAGAACATCAGAAAGCAAGAAATGCTTATGTGTCCTTGGAAAATCTAACATTTTCAAATTAAATCATCTTTTCTCTGGTTAACTGCCCATTTGTAGAATGACTGCATACTTTGAAAAAATCCAATTCAGGGCATATGAAATTTAATATCTTCTCTGTGTCACTCACTGTCAGGTACGTTATGTACCCTGTTCAGGAAGACAGAGGTTATCCCAACGTTATGGATGAGGCAGTCAGAGCAGACAGAACAACTTGGATAAGGACACACAGCTAAGCAGCGGGGACCAGGACTCAAGTCCAGGAGCAACACTTCTGCTTTCAATTTCAGGCGACACTTAGTGCCGAAAAGTGCCAGGGACACCACTTGCTTTGACAGGCAGCAAATCACAGTGGACACAAAAATAATAACTGAGATTAAAATGCTAAGTCATTCAAAGATTCAGCCAGTAATGAAAGTGTATTCTACAGTGACTATTCAAAATATACACAAAAAGGTTTCCCAACCAGGGAAACCTAATACCTTCTAGACCCTTTCTATGACATCTCACCACCATTGAGTAATTCTTTAAGATTGTTCTACGTTAAGTAAAGATGGCTGGAAAAAAACCATCCACATCAATTCATTTTTTTCCATTCTCACAAGTATTCCCTGAATACGGCAATTAGCTAACTTGCAACATTTCCTTAAAATCTCAATCATGAAACAATGTCTCATCTAATGCAGGAAGTTCAGTCAAAAAAAAAAAAAAAAATGCAACCTCCTCAGTGTCACTTTCATGACTGTGGACGCACAGCTCTCCCCACCAGCAGCAAGAGTACAGAAACCTAAGTTTATTCTCCACGGAGCAGCTTGGAGGGTCTCAGCTGACAACGATGCTATGCTTAACCACATGTGGACCCCACTCCCTCTCTAACATTTAATACTTATATTTAATATTTAGATTATTTGTAATATAAAATATAATGTTATATTTAGATTATACTTAATTTTAATATTCTTCCTTGCTCAGGAAATGATCTCATCTTTCCCAAACATCCACCCCTGGCTCCCAAACCGGTTTTTTTTCATTTGTTTGCAACAATAGGGTCTTGGATGAAATAGCACGGAGATACTCCACTAAGATAATTATAGGTACAGAACTAGAAATGACCATTTCTTCCAGACATAAGCTACTCACTTCTTCCGGGTAGAAGTACTGAAGATGACTGAGTGGGAAGACTGATTCAAATCCATCTCTGAATGAATCAAATTGCCTGGAAACGCCTTCATTTAGTGCCCAGAATATAACCAGCTGCAAAAAGAAAAGTCTTCTAAAAACTGTGACAGATTTCAAATCTCTTTCCTATTTACTATTGGGCAAAGTACAGTGAAATATTCTTCCTGATCACTCTTTTTTATTTTTTTTAAATAAGTCATTAAGTCTTTAAAATATCTCCCAGAAAACGGTATAAGTTAAAAGATCAGTCAGGTCAACATCTAATTCAGGGCCTGGCCAATAAGGAAACGTAAAAAATGCAGTGTGCATTTTAAAAATTCATTTACGTAAAATCCCTATGGTAAAGAGTTATATATTACCCTACCAGATAAGAACTTCCCAAGAGGATAAAATGTTACTGAGAATTGAAGATAAAGTTTCAAGATTCACAATTACCACTGTTAAGTGTTTTTCATTTCTTTTTTTTTTTTGTGTGTGTTTTTCATTTCTAATGTGAAATTTTTAGTTCTAAATCCTGTTAAGTTCTTAGAACCCAACCCTTCTGCAGTGTGTGTCTCCATTTAGAAAAAGGCAAACTCTGGAAATGCAGCCACATGAAATTTAAAGGTAACAGAAAGTATGTGTTATTGGTCCAACGTTATCTAGTCATCACTGACTTTGGCTAACCCATTGGGTTAAGAAATAGAGGACACGTTCAGATAAAAATGAAAACAATAGTGTTTGTTGATAGAAAAAGACAAGCATTATTACAAATTATTTTTAGAGAAACTTAATCTGGATGTTAACTCATCATTTGCTAGTAAGCTGCAAGATGAGCTTTCTCCAAGTTAGGAAAAGAAACAGGTAGTATAAGAAGAGTCCTACCGAATATTAGAAGAATTACTATGAATCACAGAACTGTTAGGCAGACTAAATAATATCTGAGATCCTCTGCTATCTTCTTTCTCTCAAGCTGATGAAGAAACCAGAGCAGAAATTTTTCAGAGGCTCTATCTAAAGTCTCACACCAAGGCAGTGGAACGGTCAGGTCTAGGTGTAGGTGGCATTTTGTCTTGAACCCAATGTTCTTTCCACTCAATGTCAGGAATAAACTAACTTTTCAAAAAGTAGTAATAAAAGATCTATATAGGTTATAATTTAAAAATATAATCTGTATTCAATACAAAATTGTTTTTTCTTAATTTAGCAAATACAGCCAAGGACCATGAATTAATAATTTGAAAGGCCTCACCAAACCCATAAACGTATGTGTGTTGGAGGCAATTCTGTGAAGTTAGCTGGCTTGATAGGCAGAAATGCAGTTTAGCGAGAACACAAGTGATGGCTCCTTTTCACTGATTTCTTCTTAAATTAAGAAAATGTGATGTTATTAGATAGTATTCAAGCTTGAGGGTGCGAATTTAAGGTTACATAAGGGATCAGGAAATATCTGACATGTTCCCTCATGAGCAAACAGAAGCTAAGCCTTGAAAAAATGGCTTTCACGCAGTGGCCCCGGGTCTCGAAGGTCTCAAACCAGTCCGGGCAGGCAGCTAACAGACACCGCCTGTGCTTCCTTGGACGGGTCCTCCCTCTCCGTCAGAGTAGCACCCAAAGGCAAAGCCCTGCATCGCCACAGCAGGCCTTCTCCCAAAGAACGCCACGATTACATACTCTTAGATACTCCTCTAAATTGTGGATAGTGACTGGTATATCCTTTCCTCCTTTCTTCAGCTCGATGTTGGGAAAACCTGGCAGAGTGAAATCCAATCCTAGATCTTCCACTGAGCAGCCGTTCATCGTCAGGGTTTCTAATGCATATTGTAGACTCTCTTTGGTCTAAAAAGAAGGGAGGGGGGTTGTCAAGCATAGTAATTCACTCAATTATGTTTTTGTTTATAAAAGATATGCTAATAAATTTTTCGGGTTCCTTTGGCTCTTGGCCTATTTATTTTTCCTTTTTTTGGTCATAATCTAAATGTGAACAAGGTACTGAGATCACAAAGGAAATAACCTTAAACGCTTCAGAATCCAACTATTTTTATATGGGAAAACAAGATCACTTGAGTGTTCCTCCATAATGAGATGTTTGCTACTCAATTTGACCTTATTCAAATCAGATTCATAGAAAGGCCATAATAGTTTGCATAATGGTCAATTTAAGAGCGTGGACTCTAGAGCCAGACAAACTTGTCATAAATTCTAGGCTAATCTTAATCAATCTAATATATGTATATAGCAAATACTGAGTAATACAATACAGTAAGGAAATTGTAAATACAAATAATGCACGATCCAGGAATGGTAATTAACTTTTTTCCCCCTGCAAAAAGCTGAAGTCTAAAAAATACCCTGGAGATTCTTTATTCAATACCTTGAGGCCTAGCATAACAAATCTGTATTCATACAATAACACTGTGATGAAAAAAGGCTCCAACAAAGCCCTAAGAAAAGTCAGGTCTTACTCTAAAGACAAATGTTAAAAGCAATTTGTATTATTCACTTTTTTAAATGCTTAAGATTTTATAAAAAGGCTTATATACAATATTATTATTTTTTTTAGATTAAGGATCAAAGACCAACATGCAAAACTGTACATTCTATCTGAAAATGATGGTATCCAGTACAGGAGAAAGAAAGCAAATGGTTTTCTGAATTGGACATGCCCCAAAGTATGCAAGTCCTAGAGGCTAAACAATCAAGGTGCAGAAAATTAGTCATTTAAACTAAAAAAGATTAGAAAGTTCTGATTAATAAATTAATCATTTTTTAAAGAGGAGAATGAAAGCTGCTTAGGATTCCAGATAATTCAAAATACAAAGGAGATAGCAGCACTATTTAAGATTAAGGTAACATATAGTTGTTGAGGATTACGTCCATTTTTACTTCTCTGCAAAAACTCATGTTTAGGTCTCTCTCAGTTTCAGGTGCATCATTCGATGACACCCAAAGAAAGGCTTTTCAATTTTACATTTGAAATATTCTTTAGCAAGAAGACTAAAAAAATCACATCAAATAAAAAAAGCTCTCCATTTTAATGTTCTCCCACTGGAAGGCTCTCAAAACTGACCCCCAGCACCTGTCACAGATGAAGGCAATCACTGCTGTGCTAACAGAAGAGCTTTCCTCCCACAGCTACATAAGACGTATCTGACTTGTAAAGGTCTGCATTACAAAACGTACCATAGACAGGAATCTAGAGCATACGATATGTCCTTGAGATGTTTAAAAGGAATTCACTGTTCGTTTCTCTAGACCTTAAATACTAAATTGAAAGCTAAGCTTTAGCCCATTTTCCATGTATCTTTCAAGAATTTAAACTACCAAGTGGAACCTCAGCCAGGACGACTTGTTCCATCTGTATGCTTTATAAAATGACGAGGTAGGTGTTTCAGAATACCACCAATCCTCACGCTCTGGGTCAAAGTGGGTTAATGCACTAAATCAGTTTCTGGAGTGCAGTTTGTGTGCCATGCATTTTATACTTTTAAACTGACAACCTCAGGAATAATAAAGATTAGAGGAACAAATCTCAAAAGATTTGAGGAAGAGAACTGTGGCAACACACCGCACTGCAGACAAGGATACACAACAGAGCTTGCAGCACGTGTCCGAGCGCGGACTCCAGGGCACACAGCCTGGGTTTGGATTTCGGCTCTTCCACGCTCCAGATATGTGACTTGGGCAGGTTACTCAGCCTAGCTGACTTGGGTCTCTCACGTATAAAACAGGGATAACAGAAATACCTAAATCTCGCGAGGCTGTTGTGGATTAAATGAATCAATACACTGGAACAGCGCCATGAGTTTTACTTTCCTTCTTTTTCTTCTTTTATGGGTGAGGGAGCAACATTTACCTAAGAGATGATCCTAAATATGACTGTAGTAGTTTAAAATTTACAAAGTTGGTAAGCATAAACCTAACTGGTTCTAAAAGTCCTAAGACAACAGATGTATGGAAAAGACGAACTGGGCCTCTTTAAACACCCATATCTCTTAATAAACTTATTTTCCCAAAAAATCACCAATTAGTAATTACCAATATGGGAGATAAAATGAATTCCCTTACAAATCATCTTCACAAATAAAAAGGCATTCTAAAACCCATCTACTGTATAAGCTCCTCTCCATCTTATCAAGAGAGATGCTACTTTCTCTCACTATAGAATCTCCTTAATTCTCTATTCTTACTTTACACAATTTAAAAATGGGAGTTGATTTAATATTTGTCCATGTTACTTGTCCAAACATAAGCTACTTGAATCTGTGCCACTTTAATACAACTAATACAACTTTGTCTTCTTCTAATGTCAGATACAGAACCACTATTAATCTCATACTGAGTCAAGTGATTTTCTAATCTATTACTAATATATTAAAGATATACATTAATAACTAAAGCTCAAGACTACCTACGAGAGCTAACAGAGAAACCTCAACATGTGTTACCAAGAAACAGTGGACACTTAGCATGACCTTTAAAAATATCTTCCTGAGATCTCTCTAGAAAACAAGTGGACTGTTCCTAAACTAAGCTACCTTTCTGGAAAAATTAATCTGTCATGAGAACAGTTTTACTGATTCAAATGCTTACTAAAAAGCATTCATTATGATGTAGCATCTGCCCAGATACACACCATCCATCTAAAATTTATTATAATAAACAAGAGCCTTAGGGTTTCAGTTAGGAGTGTATTTTATTTGTTAATCAAGCTCTTTATTCATCACATTTTTTTTTGTTTTTTGTTGTTTTTTTTTTGTGAGGAAGATCAGCCCTGAGCTAACATCCATGCCAATCCTCTTCTTTTTTGCTGAGGAAGACTGGCCCTGAGCTAACATCTATTGCCAATCCTCCTCCTTTTTTTCCCCTTTTTCTCCCCAAAGCCCCAGTAGATAGTTGTATGTCATAGTTGCACATCGTTCTAGTTGCTGTATGTGAGATGCGGCCTCAGCATGGCCGGAGAAGTGGTGCGTCGGTGCGAGCCCGGGATCCGAACCCAGGTCGCCAGTAGCAGAGTGCACACACACAACCGCTAAGCCACGGGGCCGGCCCCCATCACCTTTTGTTGTTACAGGTCATCTTACTCACTATAAAATCATATTTCAGTTATTATAATAAAAAAATTAAACTTGTCTAAAATAAAACATTAATTACTAGGTCAAATACAAACCATTTAACAAAGACTTCATCTTTCTATAATAAGAAACAGATTCACTTGACCGTTTCCTCATCTTCTAAGCCTACCTGGGATTTATCTTGTTCAAGTCTCTTCTTCTGTCTGACAATGTCTTCTAGGTGATACACTGATCTGGCTACAACTGGGTCAATGTCAAACAAATCATGTGATGTCAGTGAAGTTTCCTGCCGTAGCATCCACTTATAAAAGGGTAAGCCAAGGGGAAGGTCCACCTGAAAGAGAATACGCAAAATATCTTAACAGTCACATTAAGCTTCTAGAACTGCCTCAATTCTATAACTGACACTTCAAGAGGTCATTTAAAAAGGTCAAGTAATCCCCAGGAAAAAAAACATATTTAGCAACTGTTTCATTACATGAAACTGTCCCCATTCAAATTACATTTGGGGCCCTGATATTGTAAAAAATTTAGAACATTGAAGAATCCTATTTAAACACTGAACCTAAAAAGGAATTTTTCAATGATGGACATATATTCTCCATAAGGGCCTCAACACCAAGAGATGTTTAGAGGAATCTTACTCTATTTTGGGCCAAATAAACTTAATTCCAGTGTAGTCTGTATTACTGCATATTCAGAAGCAAGAGAGGTTAAAAGGAAGAACCAATTAAAGTCAAAAAATGGAACTTCTGAAACAACTGATCAACAGCCCATTCTTCAGTTACAGTCAAATTGTAAGCTTGTGAATTTGACATCAGATGAAAATTTCTTACACATACTGATACTGACAAAGTATCTAAGAAAATGTGAGAAGAGAAAATGAAGAAAAGTCCAGAAATATTCAAACCTCTGTAAATACTGATTTTTTTGCTTATCTTTACTCCAGCATTCTAATGGCAATTTACTGTAGTTTAACTACATGCTCATGCTCTTTGCTACTGAATTAAAAATCTAATGTCAAACACTTAAAAAATATATAATTAAAACCACCCTTAATGTTGCCTGAATCTCTGAACCCTGGCTACGAAAAGAATGATCCACAGACCAGCACTTGGGTATCACCTGGGAGCTGGTATGAAAAAGCAGAATCTTGGGCCTCACCCGTGACGTAGTGAATCAGAATTGGCTTTTTAAACGAAATCCCCAAGTAATTCACATGCACACTAAAGTTTGTGAAGCACTGTTTTAAAATACAGCATTAAGTAAAGGGCATTAAAGTACTTTCATGGAACATAGGTACAAAAAAATTGTAGAAAAGCAAATAATCCTAAACTTACCAGTCTGAAATCCATGATAGCCTTGGCCATTAATTTTCCTAAGAAGCGAAACTTCATCTTAACCTTTGCGATATGAGCTGGCTTAGCTGTCCTACCGAAGGGAAGCGCAAACAGGCCCTGGAGGTTTTGAATATACTTGGTCCCTTCTTGGCTTCCTGTAAAATGAGCACATCACCAAACTTTAGATGCTATTTCCCAAAAGAAGACAAAACTTGGTAATTAAGACATTTAAGAAATTCAGTATTCTCAAAATCAGATAGCAGATCACTGAATGAAGTCTTCTAGAGCTGAGAGGGCCTCCCTTATTTGATAAATGAGAAAACAAAGGCTAAAAGAAATTAAGGTCAGAGAGCACGGTCCTCTACTGTAAGTTAAATATATTTAATGAACTCTAAGGACCCTTTACCTGATCTGAATAACACAAATTGACTAATCCACAGATTAATATTACCTTTTGGATTGCTAAGAGTTACTTCTTCACCTCTCCAGAGACCCAAGTCAGCTCTCTGTAGTTCCTGAGATACAAGTGCATAAAACTCCAGTGTAGGCCCAAGACCTGTACCAACCTGCAGAAGAACAAAAGTAGAACAATTACAAATTTTAGAATTTGTGCTTTTTTTTTAAACCGCCAAACTCTTGGCAATGTGGGTACTAATAGCGACTATTTATCAGGATGTATTAGAGATTATTTCCCAAACTGACCTGATTGTACTCCTTCAGTCTTGGTCACCTGGAACAAGAACTAGCACCTCTTTATTATTTCCTACTCCGTGCGGCCCCAACATTTTAATTGTATGGCCCAAGCTTGTATACTGACAGAAGTAATGCTGTAGCTATCTATCTTATCCTCAGGGAATAAGATGGCATTGTCTGCATTTGGATCTCTTTCTTGTTCTCTGTTACACGGAAACCAGCTCAAATGTCACCTCCTCAGGAGCAGCATCCTTGTCGGCCTAAACAGTTCCTTTGCTCCTTTTTTAGGACTTACGTTTCAGTTACTTAAAAAAGTACTTATCATATTACACTGCCAGGATTTCAATCGTATGCTAGCATGGCTCACTTGAGGGTAACTTTAATTCACCTTTGTATCCTCTATAGTGCCTGGCACATGCCAGCCATTTAAAAGAGGTTCGTTGAATAAAACTCAAATAAGGGAGGGTCTGAGTCCGTGTCAGCGCCCACAGGGCTAACTTAGCCTCAGAGAGTCCTTCAGTGCTTCTCAAGCCGCGTGGTGCACTGGAATCCTGACAGCTTTATCCATAAGCACATGTGGGGGTGGGTATGTCGTGAAGATTCTGATTTCATAGATCTGGTTTACAGCCTGGGCACTAGTATTTTTAAACACGCTCCAAAGGTACAGCCTTGAATGAAAACCGTTCCTCCATGAGACACATGATCCTGGGGCAGTGTTCACAGCCTCATTATTCCTTCATGTTCTATCAAGGTTCTACCTGCTCAGGCCATAAATTAGATATGCAGCTAATGTCAAGTTAATACCAAAATTTATAGGCTAAATCTAACCACAGTCCTGTCAAGAAGGTTAAGTTTCACTTACACATTATTTGCAAATAATGGGCATTACTTTACCGTTATCACAGTTACTTTTAAAAAGTATCCACACTAGCTTAAAAGATTAGTTGTGGTCCACAAAACGTTTAACTCTAACTTTCCAAGCAGCGATCTGCCTAGACCTGGTGGCGCTTTCCTGATCCACTCCATCCTTTTGTTGCTATTCCATAGCAGTAAATGGCATCCACATTCACCCCATGCTCCAACCAAAATCCTGGAAGCTTCCGGGACTCTTCTCTTTCTTACTCCCCACATTCCAACCCACCATTAAACACTGTTCGCCCCACCTTCCAAATATATTCTCAACTGGTTGCCACCATCACCTCTTATCTGGTCTATTGCTAAACCTCCTAAATGGTCTCTGCACCAGCATTCTCGGCATCTCATACTCTAGTGTCACAGTGCCAAGAGTGATCCTTATAAAGCCTAAGTTCACGTCATTCCGCTGCACCCTCCAAGGGCTTCCCATCCTACTCAAAGCAAAAGCTCAAGTTCTTAGCACAGCCTGCATGTCCCACATGACCCCTTCCACCCCTTGACTCCTACTTCCAACCACAGTCATCCTGCAACAGGCCAGGAATCTGACAGGCCAGGAATGCTGTCTCAGGGCTTTTGCTTCTCTGTTCTTTTGCTAGAGATACTCTTCCCCCAGATAGCAATGACTCACCTCTGTTGAAATGTTACCTTAGACTACCCTATCCCCTCTCTGTTACACTCCATCTTCTTATTTTGCTTTATTTTTCTTCATGACAGTGCCTAACACACATATGTGCTTGAGTATGTGTGTATTAGCCTCCCCAAACTAAAGGAAAAGCTCCATGATGGTAGAGACTTTGTATATTTTGTTCTCCATTGAAGCCGGGGCATTGGAGGAGAGAGAGGAGGGGAAAGAAGAGGGAAGCAAGGAAGAAAAGAAAAAACTGCAGTAACATCTGGTATCCACCAGATGGTGCTTTAAAGCCAGTTAATTCTTTCTTCCTTTAGCATAATTACATATCTAGAAATCACAGATCAAATCAGTGTATTTCCTTCATCCAAATATTGTTATTTCTAAAGTTAAAATAGACTTGACTTAAAATATTTAATGACCTGGGTATCACTGTAAACACTTTCATCACAGTGAGTCTCTGTGAGGGTGGAAGGACCAGGTCACATCTGCTCTGGCAATTCACCCCTACCCTGGGCTGGCCAGTAGCCCTGCAGATCAACCTGATCTTTTCAGGAATCTTTGTTCTACTCAGCCACTCCACTAAAAAGGTAGGTACTTTGATTTTTTGCTTCATTTGTTTTTAAAGGAAGGAAAAGCATAAAGCTCTAGAAAAACAAAAACATAAAAACAAGTTTGACAACCTGTCTTATTTAAAACTTTGAAAGTCTTTTTCTTTCAAAAGCTAATACTTATATACTAGCACTTATGTGACAGCCAATGTTCTAAGTGTTTTACACATTTTAGTGCATTTAATCACTCTAACAACACAATGATGCAGGTACATTTATTATGCCCCTTGTTGAAATACCACTGAGGAGTCTACACAACTAGTAAGTGGTGGCACCAGGCTCCACAATCCAAGCTCCTAACCTTTCACCATTCCAGAGATTGCGTCATTTGTAGCCCCACCCCTGGGGCGTGGTGACTTTCTGAGCCCAGAGACTGATTTAGTTCTTTCCTGGCTTAGCAATCATCTCTATTCAAGAAGGAGCCCATTTTGATCTGACATTTTAGATTAGGATTCTTCTAAAGGTAGTAAAAAAGCCCTCCTAATGGACACCAGCTGACTTGTATGGTTGAATTTGATTTAGAACCTGAGGCTCTATGCATATATAAAGCCAGCACTCCTCCCATCCCCTCATCTCCAATGAAGTCAGCTCCTGGAATCTCTTCCAGAGTCAATAGGTAAGACTCATCAATGAAGATCATAAAATTGTGATTTCTGTATCAGCAATTCAACCTTGATCCTTAGAACAGTGTGATGCTATTCTGAACTTGTCCAGGTTTCACGTAAGATGCAATTTGAACAGAGCCATGAAGGTGAGAGAGAAGACAAATAGCAAGAGAAAAATATGTTGGAGTAAAAAAGTAGAAAGCATGTTTAAATAAACTAAGCAGATCAAGTCGACCAAGACCAAGCCAAGTAAAGGTCTTGTAGTTTTAGGAATAAGAAATCCAGACATGTAAACATATAAGAACTACATCCTCTGAGAAACAGACATGATCAGGGTGGATTCAAAAGAAGATCCAAATTTCTTATCCCAAGCAGTCAAGGCCTCCATTTCATCTCCCCTGCCTCCCATCACTTCCGGAGCAGTTACTCACTCCCTCTTGCCACTAACCACCAAGCGAGATCCTTCGCTCAAGCCACATCCTTTGGTCCTTTAAACTCTGCCCCTCTCTTCTATTAAGGTCTAATTCAAGGGCTTACCTCTCCTTCCGGGCTTCCCCACACACCCAGGACAGCGCTCCTTATCCAAAAGCCTCATTTACTTGGAACCTATACCACTTATTTGCCACACCTGTTTGTACCTTTGTCCTACATCTTCCCAACTACAACGTAATCCTTTGAATGCAAGAACTCTGCCGTAACCTGGTTCTTTAGCACATCACATACTTCCCAACTACTTAAAAATTTTAATTTTGATGACTGAATACTCTTTTTTTTTTTTTGGATATGAGGAAGATCAGCCCTGAGCTAACATCCATGCCAATCCTCCTCTTGTTTTGCTGAGGAAGACTGACCCTGAGCTAACATCCATGCCGACCTTCATCCACTTTACGTGGGACGCCGCCACAGCATGGCCTGACAAGTGGTATGTCAGCGCATGCCAGGGATACAAACTCTGGCCGCCAGCAGCGGAGCGCACGCACTTAACCACTATGCCATGGGGCCGGCCCCTACTGAATACTCTTAAGTTAACATTTCAAAAGTCTTAATGAGAAGGATAAAATGCTTAGGAAAATGAATAAAAAAAAAATCAAAGCCATGATTAAAATTACTTAGATAACTACAGATACATTGTGGCTTACACTGCTTCATCTATAGGTACTTACCACGAGCCAGGCACTCTTCTAACTCTTCACCATATGAACTCAGTCACAACTGTGAGGTTGTACTATAACCCACATTTTATAGGGATGAAAGGTGAAGAGCAGAGTCGTTGGCTATTACAAATACATAATCACTATAATGGAAGGTTTGGAATTCTGTGTCCACAAGCGTTTCCTAAGTCTAAAAACTCAAGTTTTATCTTAAAAAAAATCAGAGGAAAGTATCCCCAAAAGACTCAATACTTCAGTTAAACTATATAAAAAGTCATTATTTGAATCTTTTGGTGTACTTCCTGGCTTTTTAAGAGCATTTCAAACGAAATAAAAGACAAAGATTAGAAAGAAGTAAAACTGTCTTTTTTCACAGACCACGATTATCTACAACATGAGTCAGCAAACTACAGCCTGTTTTTGTACAGTCTGCAAGCTAAGAATGGTTTTTACAATATTAAATGGTTGAAAAAATCTTGACTACTTCACAATGTGTGAAAATTATATGAACTTCAAATCTCAGCGACCATAAAGTTTTATTGGAACACAGCCATGCTCATTCATGTCTGTATTGTCTACGGCCACTTTCAAGCTACAAAGACAAAACTGAATAGTTGTGATACAGACTGTATGGCCCACAAAGCCTGAAATATTTACTATCTGGCCCTTTACAGAAAAGTTTCCCAAGCCCTGGATCCACAATAATCCTAAATGATTTTTAAAAAGTTATTAGAACCAATAATTAAGTTTATCAAGGACACAGAAAACAAGGTCAATATACAAAAGTCAACTGTATTTCTATACACTAACAGCAACTGGAAACTGAAATGAAAGAATTATTTTCAACATCATCAAAAAACATGAAATATTTCAGGAGAAATTTAACAAAATATATGCATGAAAGACCCCTAGACTTAAGTTATGAAGCATACTGAGAGAAATTAAAGAAGACCTAAATAAGTGAAAGACTACACTGTGTTCATGGATTGGAAGACTCCATACTGTGAATGTCAATTCTCTCTCAAACTGCTCAAGATGCAACCTCAATCAATCCCAATCAATATCCTGTCAGACATTTTGTAGACACTGACAAGCCGATTCTAAAATTTACATGGAAATAAAAGGGATTGAGAACAACCAAAATAACTTTGAAAAATAAAAACAAAGTTGGAGGACTCATACTACCTGATTTCAAGATTTCATTTAACTATAAAACTACAGTAATCAAAAGTGTGTAGAGTAATAAAAAAGAATAGAAAATCCAGAAACAGATCCAAACATTCATATCACCTGATTTTCAACAAAGGCGCCAAGGCAATTCAATAGGGGAAAGTATAGTCTTTTCAAACAAATGGTGCTGGAAAAATTGAATAGCCTATGTTCAGAAAAAAAGAACTTTTAACCTTTATACTTTATACTATATATAAAAATTAACTCAAAACGGATCAGAGGTCTAAATATAAGAGCTAAAACTATAAAACTCCTAAAAAACACACAGAAAAAAAATCTTTGAGACCATGGGTTAGAGGAAAATTTCTTAGGATACAAAAAACACAAAACAGAAAAGAAAAAATAGATAAACTGGATTTCGTCAAAATTAAAAACTTCTGCTCTTTCGAAGACATTTCATAAAGAAATGAAAAGTTAAAATCATAGACTGGAAGAAAATACTTGCAAAACACTTATCTCATAAAGAAACTGTATCCAGAACATATAAAGAACTCTTTAACAACTCAATGATAAAAGAAAAACCAATGAAGAAGTGGGCAGAATTCTTGGACACTTCTCCAAAGAAGACAGATGCATAAATGAATGGCCAATGAGGAATACAAAGATAATCAATGTCATTAATCATCAGAGAAATACAATTTAAACCACAATAAGATACCACTATAAACCCACCAGAAGAACTATTAAAGACTGGCAACACAAAGACTGGTGACCACGTGATGCAACTGAAACTCACATACTACATTATTGGTGGGAGTGAAAAATGGGACAGCTACTTTGGAAAACAGTTTGGTGTTTGGTGTTTCCTATGAAGTTAAAATATCTTACCAAAAGACTTAGCAATTCAACCCTGAAGTATTCATCCAAGAGAAATAAAATCATATGTCTATACAAAGACTTGTAAACAAATGTTCATAGCAGCGTTATTCATAAGAGTCAAACACTGAAAACAACTCAAATGTGCATCATCTGGTGATCAGATAAACATACTACGGTTTATCATCTAATCGACGATCACTTATCACACAGCAATAAAAGGAGACAAACTGATACATGCAACAACACAGATGACTCTCAAAAGCATTAGACTAAGTGAAAGAAGAGTAACACACATGGCTACACACTGTATGATTCCATTATTATAATATGTAAAGAAGACAAAACTATAGGGACAGAAAACAGATCAATGGTTGCCAGGGACTGGGGGTGGACTGACTCTGCAGAATTTTTGTGGTGATGGGATTTTTTTTTTAATCTTCATGTGGTAGTGGTTAAAGACTGTATACACTGGTCAACTCTCAGAATTGTGAATCTTAAAAGTGCGCATTTATTATAAATAAGCTGTATCTCAGTAAACCTGATTTTTAAAAAAGCAGTTCAAACATTTTGAAAGTTAGGTTTCAAAAGTTAAAGTTTGAAAGTTTAAAACATCCTTTTACTTACTTAACCTAAAAATTACACAAACATTTGCTCTTATGCCAGGAAAAAAACCTCTTTTATTATACAATTTGACCTTGAAAAATGGAGACCTTAGAACAAATTACTCAAGAGAAAACAGAGCAAATCTCAAGTGTTTAGATAAATTTCCCAACTGTCTTTTAGAATTCCACAGAACCAAGAAACTCTAATGACATCTCATCAGGAGCACAAGCCAAGCTAGAAACTGTCACAGACTCAGGAGCTCACCTCATTTTCATACTGGATTTCTAACATGGCCCGTGAGCTGCCGAGATCCTGCATCACAGACTCCGCTTGTTTCAGCAGCTCCTCTCTGTTCACAGTACGCTGCAAAAGACAGTACAAACGTGAGGAAACTAAGCTCAATCACACTTAATAAACAGGTGGCATTTCTCGAAGTTTTAAAAAAAAAAAAAAATCCTTTCAACTGTTAAATTATTTCTTTAAAAAAGCACACTTCAGAAAAGGGTAAGAAATAGTTGCACTGCTACAAACATCAACAGCACCCTGATATTCATGAAGAAAAGCCAGGTGTAAGTGTAATTACTATCTTGAGCCCATGGCAAGTTCAGAAATTTCAAGTCGGAGAAGAAAGAATCTCTGTAACCTTGCCAAACATCAACGCAATCAGGGCTGCGGCTCTGTGAAATCTCCCTGGGTACATTTATAGATGATGGAGAAAGAGGGATGGAGGTCACAGGTGAGCTGGAAACCTACTGGCTCTGACCGGCAGAGATCCTGCAAACATCCACCAATGAGATTCATGGGAACAAGAATGGTAGATTTCCAAATTCTACCAACACCATTGCTCATGAAACCCTAATGATACCAAAAAGATAGGAATAGCAAGGTTTTTTTTTAAGTACAATGTTGTTTGTTTTGTTTTGCTTCTCATTCCTTCCACTCCCCTTTTTTTTATGTCATTACTACTAAGGGCTCTTATGAGACTTGTGGAGATAAAGGTTTTAGGAAGACAGACTTGAATAAGAATCCTCAGCAAGAAAGAGGCAGATGAACAGAGAAGTCATAAGTAAAAGGCAGTGCTGTCTCAGAAGTACAGGACTGGGTCTCACATAGAAATGGCTCAGGGTGTTGCGGTTTAGAGCTACGAATGTAGAGCCAAGATTAGAGGCACAGGAGATGAAGTCAGCAACACATAGGCTGACTGGTCTCGAGACATGAAATACTTCAAGGATTCTGTCTCCGTCTCTTCTAATTGGAGTGATTTGCTAAGGGAATGAAGTGGATCTGATTAATTCTGTCTATTGCGTAAGGGATCAATTATAAAAGGGAGGCTATAGTTTGAGCTCCTGATTTAGAAAGAAAAGGAAGAAAGCTTCAGTAAGAGAAGACAAGATTCTTCTTAGCACAAGAGTTACGGCAACTAAAAGAGAAAAAAGACTTGTAGAAATTATTTCCGAAACCGAGAAAAAAGGACTAGAGGAGGAAGGATCACAGATAGCCCAGCTCCAAGAGACTGACAGGAAGATCTGGCTAACAGATGACAAAAAAAGAGAAGCAAAGAGAGGACTGTGACTAAGATAGGCCTCTAAACCAATACGCATCATTAGATGCACCACATCTCTAGTTTTACCATTATTTTGAAAAGCTCAGTTTGATTTATCTTTAAATATTTTGGGGAGAAACTTACTTTTTTTCTATCCAATCTAGGTGCAACTCTGCTATCTTGAGAATCAGACTGGTTGATTTCTGGGTTGGTATCAAGTAATCTTTGCATTGCTCGGTCCCGATCAAATGCAGTTACATAAAAAAGCATTTGCCGGGTATCAAAAGGGAAGAAAAATGGGCTGTAAAAAGATGCGATATAAATTTATTATCTGAATTAGAGTCAGAAACCACAAAAAAACCCTATATTAGAAACAACTTTTGATATGATACAGAATAATTATAAACATAACCAATAAAAATGGTCTCGGCAAACTAATTTTGAAGAATTTTCATAATTCTTGTATGAAATTTCCAAGTGATCAAGTAATAATGCATTAAATAGCCTTTCACTGTGAAATGTGAAATTCAACCATTAAAACCCTACACTTGAAATCAAGTCTATCCAAGATCATCTTTAATCCACCCAAAGACCTTTAGGAAGCATAACACAACTAGTGAAGGCTAAATTTTAAAATACGATCACCACTTCACAAGACTGCCAACCCACCCCCATTGCACATATACACAAGTAATGGCTTTATTAATTCACGATTTTCCGCTTAGCTTTGGTATTTCTAAGTCACTCAAAACTGCCAAAAGGCAGCTGCTAATTTTCAAAGAACGAACCCTGCAGTAACTAACACAGGTCCTACTGTCTCTTGATGTATGATTTTGATAGTTCTTGACACAGAGCTGCCAAGAGCACATCCTGTGATAATCCAAGTGTTCAATATCTGTTCTGTTCAATACACACAGCCACGTGAGGATGTGGCCAGTGTGACTTAAAAATTCAATTTCTAATTTTATTTAATTTTAATTAATCTAAATGTAAATAGCCACAAGTGGCTAGTGGCTACTGAATTGATCAGTGTAGTTCAATAGTCTCTGAGATGTAGGTCTGGACCCAAACAGGCTCAGAGCATCAACCAACTTGCCCTTTGGAGTCAATCACCTGATGGCAGAGGATTTGAATCTCCTCAGTCAAATATCCTTGTGTATTTTCCTATTTCATATACAGACACACACTATCACGTAGATCTAGTACTGGCAGTTTGCCTAGTCTGTCAGAATGCTAAAGCTACACTATTAAGCAAGCTGTGATCAAATATGACAATGTTACAAAACACATTTAAATAGGTTCACTAAAGAGTATGTTTTTATAACAAAATATATCAAGACCAACACAATGATAACGCTCCCAAGGCCATCATTAAGAAGTGATTGTCTTACCAGGTTTTTCCTAGTTCAGTAAGCCATGTTGGGATGTTTCCTGTCATGATTACTAAAGGATCTTGAAGCTGCCTATTTGCTTTTGCTGTCAACTTACTGTTAATAAATTCACTAGTTGGAATAATCTCCTTGCACACTGCATTCTGTAAAACGTTAAAAAAAAAAAAAAGTCTACATGTAGTAAAACATTAGGATTATATTCACTATCTCTTCCTTTAGCCCCAAATATGTACGCAGAGTGCCTAAATTTCACCTGTTGGTTTCCAACACACAATATACAGCTCCTCGTTAGTACTTCCCAACCCAAACGACAATTTCCACAATGCAAGCTGAAACAACTCAACACCCACACGCCACTGGTACTGGCTCAGTCACTGATGGGGCACCTAATGTTTCATGAAAGGCCAACTCCTTCATTCTTCCCTACATTATATAAATATCAAAGACAACTTTCATCCCATTTTTTTACTTTAAATATAAACCTTAACTCAGATAAATGAAATTTTGGTTCAATGAACCTAAAGAACTTTAACTACATTAAATTCATGTTCAATTTTCATATTGTAGTTTAATTTAATACATAAATTTATCAGCTAAAGAATATTTTACAAGTCTGCCAAGAGAACTAATCCAAAAACACAGGCCAGGAGGAAAAAAGCACGCGGCGGGGGGTGAGGGGGGGGTGCTGCACGCAGTGGCGATAGTTTTCACTGATAAGTACATTGTATTTCACTGGGCTAGGATCCCTGCATTTAGCTGAATCATTTTTTCTGTTTCTAGTACAACAGGAAATTCATCAGTCACCAGACAGAAACTATGAGGCAACATGTAATGAACAACACATCATGGAAAACTTCAAAAGTAGGCAACATTACTTACATCATACAAATAATACCAGTATCGACTGATGGCATGTAAAACTCTTAAAAGAAGAATCACATCTAATGACGGGTCTTCAAAAGTTATATTTTCAGGTGGTGTGGGGATGAGGTAAACTTCTAAAGGATTTGATACTGATGGGCACACTCCATCTAGAGGGCAAAAGATCAAAGTTAAGTGTTGACCAAAGTTAGAAAGGCTAAGCCAATAGAGCCAGTGTCATCTTATCATGCCTAAAAGAGTAACCACAAGTTGTTAAGATCTAATGCTTGGTATCTTATTAGTATTGATAGCTTGAACATTGTTTTTCCTTTTTATCCTACACATAAATCATCCAGGCTTATGAAAATTTCACTTTTGCTCACATACCCAAGTAAACATTATAGAGGAGAAAAACTGACTCATTTGCATTGCTCCTTTATACCACAAACAATAGCTAACAAATAAAATGGCCGGAGAGGAGTACAGACAAAACGTTTCCATTTAAGTTCACTGTTGTAGAAATTTCCTGAATGTTTTTAATATCCAGCTTAAAATGGCCATATAAGATAGACAAATACTCCCAAGTTGTAAAACAGATAAAAGAGATTTGGTTATTTAATCCAAGGCTTAGGACAGGATAGACTGTGATAGTTTCCAAGGAGGATCTGTAATTCCTTTGTTCTTAGATTTCACTAAGTAATAGCATTAAAAAAAAGCAAGGGATTAAAAGTGTTACCATTTACTTTTACGAAGCAAAGGAATTAAAATTCACAACACTATCACTGCATAAAAGAAAGGGCAATTTTTTTTTTTTGTGAGGAAGATTAGCCCTGAGCTAACATCCTTTGCCAATCCTACTCTTTCTGTTGAGGAAGATTGGCCCTGGGCTAACATCTGCGCCCATCTTCCTCTACTTTATATGGGATGCCGCCAGAGCATGGCTTGACAAGTGAGTCATGGCATGTCAGTCCGTGCCCAGGATCCAAACCTGCAGCGGAGTGCGCAAACTTAACCACTACACCACCAGGCTGACCCAAGAAAGGGCAATTTTTAACACCAAAAACAGAAATGAAAATCTCAAAGACCCTTTTAAACAGAACAAACTCAGCTTTATGAAGAAAAATTGCTACAATGCCCTTATTTCTGGACCTGGGAAAATTTCATCAAATGACACCAACGTTTGGAAATCCCTGATGGGGGTGGTGCCCACGGAATGTTAATGCAGCCTAACACGAAGGCACCATTACCATTGTATAAAAAAAGAGGGGGAAGAAATGAGCAAAATTAGACTGATAGGAAATACTTTCAAAGGAAAAGAAGTCAACTGGGAGGTGCTACTACCTTCTGTAGTCATCATATTACTGGCAAAACTTTTTATTCCTTCTCTGTTAGATGCTACTATCATAATGAATGACCATAAAAATTAAGGGCCAAATTGCCAGTGACCAGTCTCTTCTCTAGTGAATGTTTTCTACTAATGAAATTTGTTTTAGCCTTCATGAAAACATGAATTCTTCATAGAATTTCCCAATTTTCTTTCTAAATTTAGTTTTGTAGATAATTTTTCATTTTCTAGACATTAAAGTCAAGGCTTCAATTAAAAGCAATCACACATTTGTAGTAATTTCATTTTTTTCTAAATTATATTCAAAGATTTTACTACTAGAATAAATCACTCCTTTAAAACCTCAAAGACAGGAAGACTACTGCCCATGGCACTCTGCCTTCCCCTCACACATCATCTTACCATGCCATAACTCATCATGCTTTTTTGCATTTCTAGGGGAAGTTTTTGTTGGAGCTGTTTGGGCTCTTCCTCTTTTACCACCAACACAATCTTTATTACTTTCTTCATCCTCTCTCACGGGTTTGTACCTAAAGTGATAGGAGAGTATGTAAACCAAAAGTAGATTTTAAAACTGTAAAAATTATTCTACAAGGCAGGCCAAAGTGCAAGCCACAGACATCACAGAGTTACCAAAACAACTCTCTGAGGTCTATCCTCTTTCTCCCTACTTATGGATTCAGATAATGGCACTGCATCCTAGAAGAAGCCCCGTCCTAGGAGTGGCCACCTGAGAAACTGAGAATGGCTCCCTTTAAAAATGTAAATAGCAGACATTCACAAACAAAGCAGGAAGCTGTATCCAAATGCCTCTGGAGGCTCAAAGATGCCAAACTTCCTACTACCTAAAGGAACATGATCTTATGGAGACATTTTTGTCTTATTTAAAGACCTGAAATAAATCTAGAAAAGCAGATGTAACCTATGATTATTGCCCCTGAATACATGCTTTCTAGTAGACTTAATGAGGAAGCTAAATATACACACGGATGTGTACACAATATAAAATATTTGAAGTGGCTTTCAATAATAAAATGTAGGATTTAGGGTCTCCTCTCCTTATGAATTCAAAACACACAAACAGTATCGAAGTTGATGAAAAACCAAACAAAATCATTTTCAGACTTGCCATATTGTATGCGTCTTCGTCCAAATACCAGCTCTTCCTAGAGGATTGCTCTCATCATCCGTGGATTCCCTTTCATCTTCAGCCTGTATACTGAACTGCCGTACTGCCTGATACACAGTCATGTTATACGGCAGCAAGTGTTCTCCAATGTAAAATTGTAGTCTGTGTCTTACATTTCCTGAATTTAAGAACTGAGCAGCCTGAATAAAGCAAAACAAAATCCATTTAGGCTATAGACCCTAACTTTATATATTACAACACGGTGGGAAGAGAATCTTACCAGAGACTCGTCAATTTCCTCATCAGAGCCATCATCATCGCTGTCTTCATCATCTTCTCTTACTCTTCCATACCCTAAAGACCCAAGAAGGATGTTAAATTTCTAGCAATTTTACACGACAAAAAAAAAACCTTGTATATACTGGTTAAACTGACATATTCTTAGACAAACGTGTATGTTATGCTCTCATCTGCAAAGCAGAAAGATCTAAGAAAACTGTCAAATGTCATTTCTACTACATTCCAACAAGATAAATTAACTCATCACCCAAGTAAGCAGTCAACCTTTACGAAGTTTAACCTATTTCTACATACCACATATAAAATAAACGATGGGAATACAGGTTTCTGATGCTGGGCTTTAACAGAAATTTATATATCCCTTAATATTAATTTCATCTCAAATGTACATATAAACACACAACATACATATATGGACAGTACCTCTAACTACCAGGTATCTCTCGATAGCTTGTACTAAAGCCAGGGGGTCAATCTTAACAGGTCCACCCTTCCACTGCTTCACATTCGCACAGTCTGGATGTCTTTGCAACTGGCATTTTAACTGATGTGTGTTGAAAAATTTTAAAGCCTGTGATCCTCTGTTGAGAGAAAAGCTCAAGATAATTTATGAAAAAAAGTTATTCTATTATTTTCAAAATCAACATCCATTATTTCATATAAAAGCAAGATAGTACAAACTCTGAATTTTCTTAAGGCATGAAATAAGTACCTACTTACTAGTTATGTAAACAGTAAAGCCAGCAATTCAAGTTATTTAGTAAAAGTTATTATAAAATAAGAAATAAAAGAGGTGTCTATGTATGCATATGAAAACATTAAATCAACATTTGATTTCTATCCCACCATGAATCCATGTGACCAGAAATACCTCACCATTGAGATTTAATTATTTCTCTGGAATAAAAATTCCTCAACGATTTGCACTTCTGCAATATTTTGCCACCCTACTAAATTCTACTTATTTAAAAACAAAAAAAACCTCTCTTTTTTGCTTTCAAAGATTTCAGCTACAAAATTACTTTAAAAACTTTTCAAATTTTCTTTGCTATATTCTTTTGAATGAAGCAGTTTAATAGCTACACCAGTCTAAACTTGGTAATGACATTTAATTGCTCATTTCTGAAAAAGGCTGGCAAGAGTAAGTAAGATACAGAAAAGCTTAAAATGTGGTTATCTAGAAGGTTCCATAAAGCACACAAACAGGGATATGGAAAAGAATATTGCATTATACTGATATATGCATATGTTAACATATATATTTTATACAAATTTGGATGAATATGAAAAACTTCATGGTTTTCTCAAGCATAATTGAAAACGTCCCCTTATTTCATAAAATCCTCCAGGATAGTATGATGATCAAAACTGAATACCACACTGTACATTTAATTTCAAAGCAGAAAAAACCCTAGTCCACACTGATCGCTTTTCTATTCATAATGCATATTGTTTTAATTCAGTCAAATTTTAAATGTTTTTAAAACACATCAGAGTGTGTATTTTAAAACCAATTTCTTATTTTCCAGGCTGCTAGTCCTAATAATCCAGCAAGCTTATAACATCCTGCACAACACAACAATGAACTTTTACAATGAACTCTCTCTTTCTGTAGTACTTCATGAGTCTTGTAAAACTACTGTCACAGAAAAAACAGAAACTTTTATTAAAACATTAAAACTTCAAAGTAAAACACAGTCACTGGGTTACATATTTTCAAAACATCATATGTAAGAAACGTGGTGTGATTTTAAAGATAAAAAGTATTTGGTTCACTTTTCAGAGTATTCAATTTCTTCAGTCATTATAAGCCTCATATTCTTTGAGCAGACCAAGACGTTACCAGACCTCTTGCCACTTTCTCGAACAAAACTAAGCACCAAGTCCAACGGCAAGGGCACACCCAGGCAACGATCCTTACCTGCCTCCCGTCCCATTGCCACTGGGGAAGTCATGCACTTTGACTGGAAACTGTTCCATCTGGCTGAGGCAGTTGTTCATCTTGTGAACTAATGCCAATAAAGGTGCATTACCCACCGGTTCTACTCTTCCAATGGGCTCTTCTCCAGGAAGCTAAAGTTATAAATAAACCAACAGGTTCAGCAAGGCCTTTTGAAAATGGAACAGTCTTCAACAAGAAAATTTAACAGGCAGTTTTACAAAAGAGAATCTTTCATTTATTCTATTTAATCTTTTTTGACGAATTTGGTTGGAACAATGCCGTTAAATAAATTATTTCGATAAAGACACCCTTTTTGTACAGGCCCAAAATCCCTTATTCACAATTCCTAAGTCCAGAAGGCTTGAAAACACAACTCATTTGGTGGCAAAACCACACTCAGACAGATACGAGGCTATTTGCAGTCTTTATCTATCTTTATTTAGTAGGAATATTCATAGGTTTTGCTGCAAAAATATTTAATGTGTATGCAGTGCTATTTAGAATCCACTGGGGATATCACATAATATATGGTATATGTACTGTATTGTAGAACTCTTGAAATTCGTCCAGCCCCAAAGAGTTTCAGAAGCGATTACAGACCTGTACATAATCTTAAGCATGGTATAAAACTACACGCAATATTGCTATACACCTAATGAATCTAATAAATATCAACTCTGCTTTAAGTAGCTCCACAAATTAAAGTAATACAAGCAGTGCTCAAATGCCTGCAAACACTAACACTACATGGTGAAGTGGCTGCACTAACACACGAGAGAGCTATCCTCAGCCCTATTACAGATGATCCAAAAGGGAACCTCCCTGGGGTGCCTTTTCTCAAGCAGTTGTAAACAAGTAGAATGGCGTTAAGTCAATACTGTCTGAGTTATTCTTTTGCTCTCAACCACTGAGGGTGAAAGTAGGGAAGCTACTACGCTGTGGCTTCTGGTCTTGTACTCCACATTATCAGTGGTGATTAAGTACTCTTGAATGGAATTGTTACTACTGTGTTTTACATACAAAATGGAAATGTGTTTTACATACAAAATGGAAATGTGTATGTCTACTCTATCTTATGTCTATAGCAACATTATGTCTACCGTAATTTCCTTAAAAAAAAACATACTGCCAACTGCAATATGTTCAAAAACAAATATTGAGGAAAAAAATACATTCACAAGTGAGAGACTACTATTATCAAAGAAAAAGACTCAAGATACATCAACTGTGCCATTGGCTTCATTAAATCACCATTTCAATGTATTACAGTTTAACTGATAAATAAAAGACCAAGGAACCAACTGTGTATAAGCCAGCTAGAAACTTTACCTCAATATTCTCACCAACAACCTACTGGAAATTACTACTACTGGGATGAAAATAGATACTTCAGTGAACAATGATTCTTATAATAAGATACATAAGCATTATTAGATAACTTACTGGAGAAGAAAAAAATACATGAAGGAATCTCTTTAATCTGATCTCTCTGCTCACAGCATCCTTTTCACTTTTAGATGTCAAATAAAGCAACAGCTGCTTCACAAATCCACTATGTTGAATTTCAAATGATGAAACATCTGACTCTGAGACTATGCTACGGATTTCTACAAGGCACTCAGCTCCACCATCCACCTGAAAGAGTTGGGAACAGTATTTCCATATTGATTTCAACAGCCCTTACTAAGTGCACAATTCATATTTCCCCAAAAGGAACTGAATACACTCTCAACATATCTAAAAAAGAACGCAGGGGGGAGTGGTACATTCTTCTTTTTTTTTAAATTGCCTTTTTAAAATTTATTTATTTATTTATTTTTTTGTGAGGAAGACCAGCTCTGAGCTAACATCTGCCCATCTCCTCTTTTTGCTGAGGAAGACTGGCCCTGTGCTAACATCCATGCCCATCTTCCTCCACTTTATATGGGGCGCCGCCACAGCATGGCCTGACAAGAGTTGCGTCGGTGCGCGCCCGGGATCTGAACCAGCGAACCCCGGGCCGCCGCAGCGGAGCACGTGCACTTAACCACTCACGCCACTGGGATGGCCCCAAGAGGAGTGGTACATTCTTGATAGATCCTTGGAAAATATGATCTTACACACACATGCATTCAAAAATGTTAAGATTTGCTGATGGAAAATCAGTGTCTGTACCAACATAAAAAAGAAGGATCTTCTCATTCAAACAATGTAGTTTTATTAAAAAAAAAAAAAATAGACAAAGGATGAGAATACAAATTGAGGAATAAAGAGCTATAATACCAGAATAAAAAGATAAAATAACACAAGGTGTGGCTTTAAATTAATACATTTAAAATCTGAATGAAATGGACAATTTCTTGAAAAACATGCACTAGTCAAATTGCTCAAAGTACATCAAAAACATAAAAAGACTAAGAATCAGATGAATTGTAAAAGGCTTATTAAACCTCTACCCTCTCCGACTACTATCAGACCTGATGGGGAGAGAGGTTAAGGAGGGTCCTAGCAACTCCAATACGTGTAATGAAAGAGGACTAGAGAAGAGGAGACGTGCTTGAGGGACATTTCTGAAGTCTCTTCATTTGCCAAGGAAAGAAAGTCAAACATGAGATTTCTAGCATGTTTAATGATAAAATGATGAAGCACGAAACTCAAGGGAGAAGTTAAAGAACGTCAGTGCTAAAGGTACATGTCTGGCTACAAAGTCAATCTAATAGCTAAATCCGCGGAAAGCTCGAGTCATCAAGCAAAGGGAAGAACAAGATGAAAGAGATGCTGGAAGAGACTGAGAAGGACCAGCCAGATGCACCGGACACGGTACCTGGAGGTTGAGTTGTTCAGTTGCAGCACAAAGTCTCTGAAGGACATTCAGTGCAGGGTTGCTTCCATCCATGTTCTCAGAACTGAAATAACGCTCTACAAATTTATGTGCCTGCTCCTTAATCCAACCTTTAATTTTTTCTCTGCAAGAAGTAAAAAGGAGATATTAAAGTCTCAGTGGATTTCAATTATAACCCCTCATCAAAGGCAAACAGCTGCTACATTTAAAACCCCCTTTGGCCTACGCTTATAGACTACTAAATTCAGATTTCACATTAACCAAATTAAGCTTCATTTTGAAAATGGGCTAAGATGTACCTAGAGAAATGCACAGGTACTTAAAATACATTTCAGGTCATTACATGAAGAGTAAACAAAAAGTTGGAACTTCTTGAGACTCCACAACATAACAGTTGCCTAAGTGTTCACCTGAAAGCAATTTTACATGACTGTTTTCTAAGGTACAGACAGATCTTTACTTGTCCTTTACTTGTGTTCCCTGGAGAGCTGAAGTAAAGAACTACAGACCAGAAACATGCACCTGTTACGTGCACAAGAAGCTATGACAACTGAGAGCTGATTGTTTTAATTACAAATACTGATGGTTTCAGAAATACATTTGCTTAACTATTTTATTAACTGAAATTCAGAAAAATAACCTACCAACCAAACCAGTTAACCAAACAAAAAGAGCCTGCTTGTTTTCCCAATGGTATTTGATTTTTAAAAATTTCTTATTTGCAGAGAAAGCAATCTTTGTTGGTATGCTACATCCAGAGCCAAAAAACAAAACAATTCTCAAGGATTTTAAAGAAATAATTTTTAAAAGCCATAAATTGGTGTAAAAATAGTTTAGCTGACAGAGTTCTAAGTTTCTAAAAAAAGAGGCTCCACTCTAAGATTCTTAATTTCCATAGTAAAGGGTAGAGGAAGGGTATCATAAAAGTGCGTGTGTGTGTCCAGAAAATATGTTAGCTTTCCCTTGTCTAGAACAAAACTGAGGAACAGGTTCCATGGGGAAAATAATTTGTTTGATTTTGAACATACACAACTCCCTACCAGAAGTATCAAAAGGAGTTTTAAAATGTTAGACTGGAACTTAAGACAAAGCCAGACACAGGGTTCAAGAAATGAGAATCTGGCCCATCCTTGAGCTGTGCCACTTCTGAGCATAAATTAAAGGTCTGTGGCCAAGTTTCATCTCCATATAATCAATGTGCTGACTGAAATAGTTTTTCTACTGTGAGAATAGTAGTAATACAGAATCCCCCCACTTCACCTATTATTAGATATGGTGTCCTTTGAGGCAGCCCTGGCAAGACCACTAACTCCTGCAGTTCGTGCCGGTTCAATGTTGTTGCTGTTGGACTGGGCGCTTAACCGTCCCCACGTTTTTGGATTCAAGCTTGCCAGGAAAGAAGATTTAGGTGACTGCGTAGTGGTGGGGCTTTTAGCTATGAAAGAAAAGAGAATGACAAATCATTTTAGCATAACTGATGAAAACCAACTGAATTTTAAGATTCTCATTCTTAATAGATTAATTAGCTGAAAGAACTAAGAACACCGGGTATTCAGGAAACTCACGTGTACTTCAAAGCCATCAGCAGTTTTAATGAAGTACATATGTTTAACTGCTACCATCTTTCCCTTTATCTCCCCACAGTTTCATCAAAAGAATTACCTTGATTGTCTACTTTGTCATCATCTCTTGGAGGTGAATACTTTGGCCTTCTTGGCCCTCGTTTTGGCAGTCGTTTTCTCTTTAGAACATCACTTAATCGACTATCACATGGGAAAATATGGGATAAGTTTAGCAATTATCAAGATTTATTATCATCACTCATTGAAAAGCAAGCTAAAAGGGCAGAAATGAGTTACTAAATATTGCCATAACAGGGCACTTTCCATTTAGTGATTATTTAATATCAACTCTGCGTCAGTCATGTTCTAGAGGTGTACAGACACAGAAAACGATTAGTTCAGAAAACAGCTAGCCATTTAACTATACTGAACTACTAAAAATGAAACCAAAGAAACAAAATATCTAGTTAATCCTGTGTTAAACTCTATTATAAAATGTAATACATACAGAAAAGTACATAAAACAAATATACAATGCAAACAACCAATACTAAAAAGAACTGTGTAATCACAAAATAAAAAAAGAATATATTAAATCTGAGTACGATATTTCTTCCCTAACCAAAATGACAAGTAAAATACACATGGCTTCAAGTGTTAATATTATCAAAATACTACTCAAGGTAATTTCATGGTGTGCAATGGCAGTAATATCCTAAATGAATGCATTTGAAAACACTTTGTTTTTTTTAAAACTCAAAAAACTCAAAAATATTTTTTAAAAACTCAAAATTACCTATAAACAAATCTAGCAAGCGATAGTGTGAATAACTATTTTGAATTAGAATATATGAAATAGAACATACGTAGTCTTTGTGTGTTATTTTCACTATTCATAACAACACCAGAAATAGTTTGAAATATCGATTCTTAGAATAACAAAGCTACATAAGATGGAAAAGATGAAAGAATGTTCTAGGTCAGTTGGTCTATGACCCAAATAATATTTTAAAAATTGAAAAATTTTTAAAGTCTTCCAACATTTCATATGTCTATTGAAAACACTTAATAATGCGTTCAAATATGCTTGACAATCAGGCCAAGTGAACTTTCAAAGAATAAACTTAAATATAATTGAAGAATCCCCCCTTTACAAATTTATACGAACTTCTCATTTGAAACCATATTAGAAGGGAATGGAACCATTCAAAACTCTGAAAATATTTTAAGAAAAAGGTCCTTTCTTCTTTCTTTAGAGTGAGCAACTGTTAGAACCTATAATCAAGCCTAATTCCCTAATTTAAAGTGGCTCAGAAACACAGCATTCATCTAAGCTGCATCACATTTCACCAAGCACCCATGATATCTCAGGCACCCTGCCTATGCTATATATATAGTAAAACCCTGCAATAACTTAAGGTTACTGCAGCAGCTAGGGGGACGGAGTGGGGCTGGGGAGGAAGTAGAGAGGCGGGCAAGGCTGGGAGGGAAAATGGCAGACAGATTCAACTTGAGAACAGGGAAGGCGGAGGGTCCCGGTATTCTCCAGGCCCAATCTTCTTGGACTGGGTCCATGACATGGGTACCACCTAAACTCAGTAGCTTCCTAAAATCACAGCCCCTCTGTCATAAGTCCAAGTCTGTGCCCCAAGTCCCAGAACTGCCAAATTCATATTTAAGCTGGAGTGGACAACTGCCACCAGGTGGCACCAAAAGCAGCTGGGATCCTGAGCCAGCTAGCTTTGTAGGACAATGCTACCTTGCAGTTTACAAGATTAAATTTGTGGACCCCACTTATTGAGTATTATATGTTTTATCAAGATCTACTTTTCAGCTAACAAGGAGTATTATACTGAGTACACTCGGAATTTTAGAACTGAGTTTGGTTCATCATGTACCATTCATACAGCAATATTAAGTTTCTAACATCAAAGAAACAAAACCACTTTTAAAGTATGATTTGTTTCAACACAACAAAATAAAAACCAATACGAGGGTTTGGTAATGTTCTCAGTAGCACAGTACAGCAAAGGGATTAAAAACAAATAAAGAGGTGGAAGCAGAGAATTTTCTTTAATTAAGAGCAAAGTTCCCATTTGCCAATTAAAGATGAATGGGAAATCAGGTGTTTTTTCCTTTACATTCTAAAAATTCTAATTTTTAATATTTTCTACTATATCAATATCTGGATGTATCAAAACTGGTATGAATGCTGCAATACAGTAAATAATCGCAGGATTATGGAATCAGAGATGAGGGCTCAAATTCTACACCTGTAAAGTAAGTGCATGACACTGTGCAAGTCGTTTAACTTCTCTGAGCCTTAGTTCCCTGAATGTCAGTGGAAATACTATGTATCTCTTGTGGTTCCTAAACCTGGCTCAATATAGCAGGTTTCCAATAAAAGTTCAGTTTTCTTCCTATTCCCACTAAACATCTAACAAAATACAGATGGAAAATGTTGAAGTGTACATTCTCTCTAATATTTTCCCATTTTATTCTCTGTGTGAGTCTCAGATGCCAGGGCAGAGTTAAAGGCAAAGAGAAGAAAAATCACAACAAAACTCCAACTTACCCTTGAGGGCTCAGATCTAAAGAATCATCCCTGCTGTGCTGCAAGCTGGGGGACCCCAAGTCAGCCGTGGCATTCGTGGCAGCCGTGGCTGTTCCACTGCTGACTGACGTTGTGGACCCCAAGGATCCTGACCCATTTGTACATGCCTTTGGTGGACTTGTCAACAAAGACTCTGATTCCGCTAAGTGTTTTACTTGATGCATTACACCTATATAGTAACAGAGATTAAAGAGTCAGTTTTAATCAGGACCTGCCTCCCACCATTACAAAATCCCAAAATGCTAGCACTGACTTACAGAGAATGAATAAAAAGTACCTGGCACATACGGAAAAAATTTAGGTGCCAGAGTTTTCAACTTGACTCCATTCAGAAAAGCAGTAGACAAATTCAAAATTAAAGAAAGACATTCATACTGAATGTTTTCTAATATTCAAAACCCAATCGAAGGAAATTTAGTAGGGTCACAAGTAAAGTTCTACTAGAAATTCGAAATATCCATTATAAAAACAATAATCAACTATAGAAACACAGTGCACCTGTGGCTTGATAGCCAGAAGGAGAGAAAAAGACCTATAACCATTAGTCAACTTCAAATGCTACATGAGACAAGATCACAGTAACACTGCTGCAAAGAAAAAGAACACCAGCTATGAAAGGGTGGTGATTTTCATATCCTTGGAGGTGTGTATGGAGAACTAAACAGGAACTTCTAAGGCTGGGGTTCACATGTGGGCTAGGATCACAGAAGGATGTACATGGGTGGCAGCGGGTGGGGACAGAGGTCCAAGAACTATCAAACTGTATGCAAAGGTCTGTGTCTGAATGTCAGTCACTGTAAACTATAAGCAAATCTGTGTGTCTGAATGTATGTGAGTGCATGTTCACACATTCACATTTTTCTGGGGAAGAATCCAGGGCTTTCCATCAGATCCTTATTAAAAAAAAAAGGCAAACTCCAAAAAAAAAAAAAAAAGATGTCTGAATGAATTCAAATTTCAGGCATTCATTCCATAATTATTATTTGCAGCAATCATATGCCAGACTATGCTAGGTACTGAGGATATGACCATGGATAAAAAAATGAACTCAGGGCAGTTACTGAACCAGTGGGAAAGATACATGTTACAAGAAATTACAAAGAAAGAGCAAATCGCTTATGAGGGAGACAATACAGTGTTGCTGGAGCATATAGTAGGAGGAACTAACAGGATCCAGAAGTAAGGCAACATCTTCTGGAATAAATGATATTTAAGTGGAACCTGAAAGAATAGCAGACCTATCCAGATGCAAAGCAATAGAATGAATCAAGGTTCCTCCATAAACTTAATAATATATATGCTACATAAATATTTAGTAGGGATGGGAAATTCAATCTGATGGTGTAGTTGATCTTATCAAAGTAAAAAAAAAAAAACAAATCACTGAAAAAAAAAAAAAGGACTGGTTCTGATATACTTCCAAATCAGAAAGGCTAAACAACTAAAAGCAAAAAACAACAACAAAAATAGAATACCAACAACAAAATAACAGAATGCAATATACAAGATAATCTAAGGCTAAAAATAAGAACACATATCCAGTATTTACATGAGCACAGAAAACATCTATTCATATATACACCTGATTTGTTAACTTTAGTTATTATCTCTGAGAAATGGAGAGTTTGCCTTCTATTTCACATAAATATGTAGTGTTGGATTTTTTGAAAACCCATTGTTATTTGAACAGAGCTAACAATAATGATGAAAACCTCTTCCCATCTGATTCAGTACTATCACACTAGCATGTCTATTGCATTCTCAAGATGTGAAGAGATATGGATCCAGCTTAAGAAAAGGTGATCAAAAGAATGGAAAATAGATCATATACAGAAAGAATTAGGAATGTTGACAGATGGAAGATAAAGCTATGAATTACTTCAGGGGAAAATATCATTATTTCCTGTATCCTCACAAGCCCAAAGTATCCTAAAGAACAAAAGAAATTTCTGTTGATGAGAAAGAACTTGTTTAAATATCTTGGCAAGTTTGAAGAGGATAAAACACCTGAATGAGCGATATCGTTTCATCTTTAAGGTCTTCAAGAGAATGGAAAAACACCATGTCTCCAAGGCTGATTTTGACATTCAAATTCCTCACATTAGAGGACTAGACCAATTGCATTCTGAAGATTATTCCAAGCCTTAAAACGTTCCATTATCTACACAATGAAGTATGAAATAATCTCTTTTACAACTGTTCTGATCTACTAAAAGGATTCACTGGGAAAGAAAGAGAACTGACTTTTTCAAAGAATTTTTACAGGCAGCTATATATTATTGATATGAAAAGAAAAGTCAATGATTGCTTCTAAACATGTCAAACACACATAAACTTACTCAAATCATTGAAGCTTGCTAAGTGTTCATCAACTGACAGTGAATCTCACACAACCTGTATTAATAGGTTTATAAAAGACACACTATATGTACTTGAGCTATAAGCACGCAAATATCTTATATAAAAGGTAACAGTTTAATTTTTGTTCTATAGATTAAAACTATACTTCTACTGAGATGCTATTTAGACTAAAAGGTTAACCATTAATTAATTATCACAAATGACATTACCTTCTCTTCTGAAGTAAACACTAAAAATATCAGGTAACTTCTGCATTAAGATTTCTGCCATCTGAAGTGCTCCAACCACTATCTTCAGGTCTTGGCTTGATAGCATGGAAGCAATGTGACTAAAAAAAGAAAGTATTTGTATATAAAACATTTGTCTGAATTTGATAATTATTTTTTGCCATACTACTTTGAGAGCAAAATATTTTAATTGTGAAACCAGTCCCCTGAAACAAAAATTTTTCTCAACTTTTGCACTTATTTTAATCTTAATCAAAGGTGTGTGTGAATAGAAAAAGACAACAAAGGGCTCAAGATACTCCAAATAAACTGTTTTATGCATAATTTTTCTATATTATTACTTCAATGATTTCTGAAATTACTTGGAGAGACTTGAATTTCTAAAATGTTTTCACTATTTTCATGAACACACCTTGAAACAGCATGATTTTTCAGGACATCCTTCAGAAGTTCGGCATCCGCAAAATAAATTATCCTAAGAATTGCTCTAAGGCACTTATGTCTGACTGCAGGTCCTGCTGAGGAACTATACACTTCATAAAGAACGCCAAATAACGTCTTAATAAAAGACTTAGCCAGTTCCGGATCCTCTTTCATAAGCTGTGCTCGAGCATCATCCTTCTTTAACTCTGAATATCCACCTGTTATCAAAAACATACAATCCTAATGTTACAGACTTTAGAAACACAACAAAGCAAACAACATAAAGCACTCAAGCTGACGTAATTACGTGAAATGTTATAAAAAATTTTTGGTTATAAAACAAATGAACTTATCGAATGTGATTAGATGGGGTCTATAAGGATGCCAAAGGCAGCATTAAGACAAAATTTAGCCAGCCAGAAAACCAGCTGAAGAGAACAAGGCACCACCACACTGTACCTCTTATTTTACTAATATACGTTCAGTCAAGTACCGGATATATTTCAGTATTAACCATCTAAAAACACTCGTAAGAAGTAGACAAGAGGTCAAGAAAGGGACAGTACTTAGCTAGAAGCTACGGAAAAATAAGACGATCTATCACTTAGTGTAGAGGGGAAAGGAAACTGATGAAAAGTAAGCTCCACACCAGCGGTTTGCAAAGTAGAGTTCAAAAGCCCAGTCTGGCCCACCACCTATTTTTGCAAATAAAATTTTATCAGAACAAGACCATGTACATTTGTTTATATATTGCATATGGCTATTTTGGGGCTACAACAGCACTGTTTAGTACAGGGACTGTATGGCTTGCATAGCTTAAGACACTTACTATGTGGCCCTTTTCAGAAAGTTTGCTGACCCCTGCACTCTAAACTAGAGCTGTAAAAGCAATGGACTAAATCCCTGAGGAGACAGATAAACGTCAGAAACCTGGGGAAAAAATCACAATCATCTTTTCTTCATTGGCTAAGAAGAGAATTTAGCGGGAAAGTACAAAATAAAAGGTTGGAAAGAACTAATTTGATGGGTGTCGGTGGATCTAAAGGTAGAAAAAGGATAACAGGAACAGACAAGAAACTGCTCGGGCCAACTGTGACCCGAGTCCAGGATGCTGCAAATCATGTTAAGTAGAAAAATCATGGGGAAGACACCAGTTAAGCAATATTGGCTCATTCATCAATAAAAGCACATGAGAAAAACAACAACAACAAATTACTACTACGCAACTGTTTCAAGTTCAATAAAGACACTCAATGAAACATTTATTACTGTAAATATTATTCACATGACAACAGACTACTACTTTTAACTCAAAAGGTACTTACTAGTGTTAGTATTGGCTAAGGGGTTAGGTTTTCTCTGAATGGCACGTGCTGTTCCCGTGTCCTCATTGATTTGCTGCATAGAATTAAAATCAATAGTATAAACTCGTCCCAGAGTGGACAAGCTTATCTCATCCTCACCGACCTGATGGGCTGCCTGAGAGCAAAGAGAGAGAAGCCTTGAATATAAACATGGAGAAATTTATTAACTTAAGACATAGCAGGGACCCTCCATAAATGCTAACTTACACATTTATTTCATCAGGTTTTAGACGATGAAGGAACACAATATAGAAAATTTAACAATGTGGAGGTGACAAAACTCATTCATTCAATAAGTCATTTTTAATTAAACACAAATACACACCACAGGCCCTATCAGTTCCCCTAAGACATAAATACAAGTAAAATCCTGATGCAAGATCCAGTCATGTAGAATTAGTGACACGAAGACGACACTATTTGTATTAAGAAGGCTTTTAAGACTTTGCTGATAGAAAAAAATTTGTTATCCATAAATCTTAGTATCTAATTCTTAGGTTAAAACATTCTTTAGATCACGGATTCTTAGCAGTCCACCAAAATCCTCATTTAAACAAAATGAACCTATAAAATTGTCCTTAGGTAAACAAAAAAGACTTTACATTTAAATGATGCTCTAAGACTGAAAGGGACACAAGTGGAACTAAGAAAGTAATCCCTAGGGGTTGCATGCATTATACAATACATACTAAAATGACACAGTTTGATTAAGACTGTTTGCTTGATTTTAGCCTAAAGAAGGGACAGAATATTCATTCTTGTAAAGGTCCAATCTATGGAATTCCTAGGTTGAATGGAAGACAGACTCGTAGGAAATACAACAGAGTAAGCTAATAGTGAAAATGTAATTATTAGGAAAATGCTAAAAACAAGAATACTTAGGAGTTAGAGACCATGACCTGCTTAACACTAACACTAAACAATGCACAAAAAACCAGTCACAGTTAACTTCCTCATGAAAGCTGGCTCTGAATTTAGATATCTTCTTAAGAACTTTTGATTTTATAACATAAATCAATGGTTTTAAAGTTTTTCAAAATTTCATTTTCGGAAATGACTGGTGGAAGACATCTTTAAAGAAGAATGTCTACTTAAGAGTGATGTTCTAAAAAATTCAAATATCACAGTTGAAATTAGAAAATACTTTAAGACTTAAAGGTATCTTATATTTGAAAATATTAGTAAAGAGTGCATGGCATCTCAAATAACGCAGTGACCAATACTTCCTAGGGCAAATATTTTCCTGACCTGAGAAATTTTTGAAATATTTCAGTGTAAACAATATGGAAGTATGGAAATATTCTTATCACACATAAAACTTTCACAGAAAACCACTGTCAATATTTCGTGTATTTCTTTCCTTTGTATTAATTCTCTTTTCTCTTATTTTGCTGAGTTCCCAAGAGCCACATAATTCTGAATATTGTGTTTTCACTTATCATATCCCACTTTGTCATTAAAATTTATCCCATTAATGTTTGAATTATATACAAACCTATGTATGTATCACAATTTACTTAATCATTCACCTAGAGCTAGATATTTAAGTTGTTTCCATCTTTTCCCTTTTAAAAAATATTGTGAAGACACTATTTGTATGTAAATCTTTGCTTTTCTTTTGGATAGGAGATAGAAGGGACTTGCAGAGACATATAGCCTAACTCCTCCAATGTTTCCTTTCAGAAATGAGGAAACTATGGAACAAAGAACTTAAATTACTTGCTCCAAGTCAATCAGGTAGTTAGCAGCAGAAGCAGGACTACAACATCATGTTTTCTGACCTGAACAGAAATGAGGACCTTGTTCTCAGGAGACAAAATGAGAGAATCTTGAGTTAATTCAAAATTGAGCACATTTAGGTACACATATCCACCTCCCCACTCCATCCCTGCACCCACACTCCACCAAAATAGACATATTTAAACGGTACGATGAAACTACTACCTCAATGATCCGGCTGTCAATCCTGTTATAGGGATGCCAAAGGCCTCGGTCATCACGCCACTGCCAGATCGCACCATCTGTGTTCTGCGCGTTTCCCTTCTTCAGCATGGTATCAACTGCAAAAATGCCTTCTTTTGGTAAACATGGCATAAGTTCACTGAAAACAAAAAGTGCAATTATTTTAATAAGTAGCTTCCTGACCTATTAGTAAATGACAAGTCTCTAAGGTAAAATACCCTCATATAAAACACAGCCATTATTAGCCCAATCTTTACCAAATCAGAGAAGTCAATTCATACAGTTCTTGAGGACTTCGTGGAACAAGATCAATCTGTTCCTGACAACTTCCATTGGAGGCACCACACAGGAGGAAGTGAAGCGTTTCTGCAATGTCTGCAAAACCAACAACAGAAAACAAAAGCCTATGAAACTAGTTATACTACCTGATTTAAAAGGCAATCATTCCCTGAGAGGAAAACAACAATTATTTTCTTCTAAAGCAATATACTACAGAAATTAAAACTAAAAATCCAAATGAGGGGCTGGCCCTGTGGCGTAGTAGTTAAGTTCAGCATGCTCTGCTTTGGCAGTCCCGGTTCGCGGGTTTGGATCTCAGGCGTGGACCTAATCACTCGTCAGACATGCTGTGGTGGCAACCCACATACAAAATAGGGGAAGATTGGCACAGATGTTAGCTCAGGGCGAATCTTCCTCAAGCAAAGAAAAAAAAAAATCCAAATGAGTTGTGATAAAAACCTACAAAGAAATTTATGAAAAATTTTAACAGTTTTTTTCTAAAGACTTCAGTCTGAGTCCTAACCTTCTAGCTGGACATCTAACCACAAATCCACCCCCAGAGACTTCAGGAATCTTTTATCGCTTTCCTTGAGGAGCACAGGGCTTTGTACAAAAGTACATTCAAAATACACTTTAATCCTCAATTCAAGTATATTCGTATATTTGTCTTCAATTCAAATATACTGAAAATGTGTAGTCAATAGGATAAGCATAGTAATTAAAAGCATCTGAATATTATCACATTGTGATCATGAAAGTCATTACCTTACATGACATTAAGCATGCCAACTTATTACAAAGATCGGTAAAATATCCTCTACCCTAAGTTTCCATTCCCAGAAGACATCAGTTTATGAAGGAATTGGCATGAAAACCAGTCTGATGTACTGACACTGTGGGTGGAGGAAGCTCCCAGCCTCCACAAGTTTAGACACTCAAATAGCTAAAACTCAAGATAGGGCTGTGTCTTTGTTGGTTGTGATTGTGTGTGTTTCTGTAGATATTATACATATGTAAAACATACATAAACATTCCACTGAAATGTTTTGCCAGATATCATTAAGTTCTGTTATCAAGAAAAGTATTCACCACTGATTTGGGCAGAGAGGTATGGATAGTTAAATCTCTGCCTCAGAGAAATTTCAGAATGAGTAAAAACTTTAAAAATTTCTTGAAAAGTATAGTTTTGCCAACTGTCCTTAGAAATGTGAGTACACGGCAATGATACATTATAAGGATTCTCTAATTTTTTTCAAGAGATCAGAGGATGACAACATGTTTCCTTTGTGTTACTACTGTAAAAAGAAAATACAAGTCTAGTGGCCTTTACATGAAGAATGTGCTGGCAAACTTCATGGAGTATGCAAAAAAGGTGAAAATATTCATCCTATTAAAAGAAAAATAATCCAAAATGTTAAAGCAAACAAAACCTAGGCAGCATTTTTCCCAACCTGGTATTTAGGGAAATGCTGTGCCACACAGTAACAAGAAATAAACTGTACTCAAACTTGAGGAAATCGTGGACTAGGCAAACTTCAAACGGCTCCTAAAGATTTTAAGAAGCATGGGCCGGCCCTGTGGCTTGGTGGTTAAGTGCGCGCGCTGCGATGCTGGCGGCCCGGGTTCGGATCCCGGGTGCGCATCGAGGCACCACTTCTCTGTCCATCCTGAGGCCGAGTCCCACATACAGCAACTAGAAGGGTGTGCAGCTGTGACATACAACTATCTACTGGGGCTTTGGGGGCAAAAAAAAAAAAAAATCTTTAAAAAAAAAAAAAAAGAAGCAAAGTGTATTGAGATGACTCAAGAAAGAGTCAAACCTTTCCCAAACTTATCCAGGCAGAGAGTACTTTGTTCACGACACAAGCAAAACAGTATTCTCTGGAATACCAAGTTTGGGAATGACTCAATGCTTTAAGAGGAATCTTTTCAATAAACCACCTCAGCAGCACTGTTTTTCTCCAAAATTCTGTGCCAATGTGCTAACTCACAAGAAATGCAACTAAATATAAAACTGAATTTCCCCCTTAAAAAGTAATATTATACTACTTAATATTCCATCTGAGGCGGTGAGACCAAGCTTATTTTGTCAGTAAATATCATCACTGACTCCCAACATAACATCCTCGGAGATTAGAATTATGGATATGAAATTACCCACAATTACAGGTGTTCTATACCAAAGGGATCAACACTCTATTAGCAATAACCACAACATACAGATGTTTTCTGAAGCCTTATGTCTTCTGACATTAACTTGTGAAATCTAAGGTTTAAGAGAGGAATGCAACAGTAAAATAAAAGTGCGATAAAACTTTATCTCCTGCACGCTGGGTAAGGGTGGGAAGGGCTTAGAGAAAAAGTAGCAAAGATGAGAGACACTCATCTGTGGAAATAAGTTCCAACTTTTTGAGGAAGGAGAGCATTCTGGAATCAGGTAAACTGCTGGAAAATCTAACATGAGCAGAAAGGACAACCTACAAGCAGAAGACAAGCAGTTACTGGTAACAAAAAACTCAGAAGTTTCCTAATGAAGCATCATTACATAATTGAGAGTGTATAGAAAGCAATGATCTTGGGTCTTTAGCCCTAGAACCACCAAGGGTAAAATTTTAATGCACTATAAACTTTAAAAATCGTTATAGGGCTGGCCCCGTGGCTTAGCGGTTAAGTGTGCGTGCTCCGCTGCTGGCGGCCCGGGTTCGGATCCCGGGCGCGCACTGATGCACCGCTTCTCCGGCCATGCTGAGGCCGCGTCCCACATACAGCAACTAGAAGGATGACATACAACTATCTACTGGGGCTTTGGGGGGGAAAAATAAATAAATAAAAATCTTTAAAAAAAAAAAAAAATTAAAAAAAAAAATAAAGAAAAATCGTTATATAGGAAGCATTACTATGTTGTTCCCAACACAAAATTTATTATACATTAACATTTTTCTTGCTTTACTATCCAGAGCCTATGATATTAGCAATCTCTTCTACTTGCTTGACTTACATTGACTTTACTTATTAATGGATATTTTAAAAAGAAGCCACTTTTCCTCCTTAAAGTAGGATAATAAAATAGCACTTACTTTGCTTCATAAGTTGAACAGCTAAAGTTGGACAGTTGGAACACATCAGAGAAAACATGCGGACCACCATGATAAACATCCCAGAACTTAAAATTGGTGGAGTCACTACCAATAGTTGTTGAACATTTGTAAGCAGATCTTTGGAGGCAACCTGCTGGAGTAAATTCTTTACAAACATAAGAAAAAGGAAATTGTTATATCATGATTTAGCAATTTAACAACATGAAATACCACCCAAGACTAAGTGCTTACCTCCTCATGTTGGAAGTTGTCCACTAGACGTGCAAAACAAAGGCAAGTGCTTTCTACTGACTTTTTGTCCTATTTTTTTTATAAAGGAAAATAAAGTTTATTAATATAAAACATTTTCACTGTCTTATATCACTACCTAATCTTCTTCCTAACCCCAAATTCTTCAAGGCCAGCTCAATTAGGTGTGAGCTTTGAAAATGCACTGAACCTAAGCAAGGTACAATCAGTAACATCATGATTTCAAAGCAAAGAGCATCATCCTGATAGAACCTCACTCCTCCATTAAGGCCCCAACACAGAAAAGCAAATATACAGAAAAGGAACAACTTTTGTGCTTCTGTAATTTCAATACCTAAACAAAAATTATAATAAAGAAAAGATAAACATCCTACCATTCTAAAAACCCTTCCCAGGAGAAATGTTGAAAACATGCATACACTAAAAAGCCAGAAAGAGTTAAGTATATGTTATATGAACCAGAAGTTTACTGATAATGGGAAAAACGAGGTGTGGATCTGCTATATTCAGTATGGAAACAATCTAGAAATACTGTTAAGAGTGGCCTCATTGAGAAAACGTTTGAAACAATCCTCATAAGAATGAAAATAACAATTTAATGGCTTAACAAGTATTTTGATAGAGCTTGTTTTTTTCCTAATTGATAAATGGGCTTCAGATATAAAAACCAGACCTGCTTATGTAAAAATGACAATAATTCTGGTATTATAAAAGCCCCATACTTTCACTGTCACTTAAGTCTAGAAAGAGCGCTACAAGTAACAGTGGCCAATTATTTAACTTCTGATTCTCATGCCTTATTTCCAAAATAAGGTACTGAAATCACAGCTAACTAGAGAACATATTTGTAGCCCCCACAAAGCACAGGTTATCTCAGCCAAGTTTTTTTTTTTAAATAAATAAACTATTAATGGCACTACTTGTGTCTAGATCATCTTAGAAGCAAAACACTCCAGAGTGACTCAATAATCATTATTATTTTATCTATCTTATTTAAATCCCTTATTTAGCATATTCTTTGTACCTAATTTTCCCAAGAATATTTTAAGCACACTTTGTAAAGGTGATTGACAAGTCAGATTTCTAAAAATCTCTTTAGCAATAACAAACTTTAATTCATTAATTAAGAGAAAATTCAATTTCTCTACAACCTTGAGGCTTAACTCACGATCTGTCCTCCACCCCAGCCTCTGTAAGCCCTGCTTCCCATACTGCATCACCAGGTCCACTGATTTCATCTCCTAAATAATCGTTCCTGCTCTTCTCCAACCCCGGAGAGCCACAGTCTAAGTTTTTCATTTCATTTCTATTTGGGACACATTCTCGTCTCTCTTCTGATCTTAACCCATATGCCCCTAGTCTTGTCTGCCTAACCCAATGCCTTTTAGGAAAGGTTGATCTTTCCAAAAGAAAACTCGGATCATATCACATAGTAAACACTGTTTGCTGAAGTAATAAATTTATCCCTTAAAATCAAAATAGTTGAAGACATCAAATATATGAAATACTGTTCATTTGGGTAAATCCACCAAAATTTCATAAAATAATCTAATATGATATATGACTGGATAACAACGGAAAAAACATGGATCAGAACATTTCCAATTTACATATCCAGCTGGAAGATTTAAAATCCTACTTGAAATTGGCATTTTAAAAAATGTTTTATGAGACATAAAATAGGTTCATATTTTACCTGATGGGTTAGCCTTTGGGTAAGCAAGGGAAGCGAATCTGCCACAAAATGAAATTCATCCGGTGTGATACTCTGGCAGCAATTGGCTGCAATTGCTAGTGCATTTCTTTGGGCATTTATGCTGAAGAACTCTAAATACAGCAAGCAGTCTGCCAAACCACCCTAAAATACAGAAAACCGTTAAAGTGAAGAAACACCCTCTTATCAGCAATTAAAAAAAAAACCATTAAAAAGTCTAGTGCATCACTTTGGAAACGCCATGTGTACATATAGAGCTTGCAATCTAGGAGCTAGTACAAACGTGGATCTAAAATCCAACATTCAATGAAATATAGTCCTTTGGTAACAACACTCACCGCCTGTAGAATGGCTTTACTGTGTCTACGTGATAACATCTCCAAGGCAGTCAAGGCTTGCTCTGCCACATCAATACACTGAATAACTTGTAGCTGGGAACACATAAATAGGTAACTTAAGGTTATCATTCAAGTTCTTTTCGCTTATCTTCTACATGAATAAATACAGCATTTTCTCTAATTTCCATCAATCTATACTGCCTCTAACATGAAACCTACCATAGGAAACTAGTGATTTATGAGCTTAAGCTATAATGTATAGCCAATATCGTTTCCTTCCAACTACTGCGCTCTAAGATACTGAAAAATGTTTCATATAGATAATAAACTAAATCCAATTACATAACCTTAAATCTTCATATTTAAAATAAATGGGTTGTTTTATACAACATATTTTTAAAATGAGGTTTTAAATTTCATACCATATTCCAAGGTTATCAGATAATGCAAATTTTATTGTGCATTAAAAAGAAAAAGGCCCTTAAGACAAACTAAGAACACAACCTACCACAGACCATATGAAAAAATTTCCTTTCTCCACTGACTCACTTTGTGACCTCGAGCAAGGAATTTTGTCTGTCTCAGCCTTCTAAGCTGTAAAATGAGGGTATAAATAGCTATCAACCTCATTGGGATGTTTTTTGAAAATAATGAGATTATTTATAATCAAGCCCTTTAAATTCTTCTCTGAAAGATTTTATATTGACGTTATAATTGCTATTCTTAAAAACTATAAAACCGAGATGATTTTATAAATACTTTATTAGCATCAGCTTTAAACTACTGGTCTGCTAAACATGAAATATTTTTCTGGGATCTTGGCTAAAAAATATACTTTCATTAGATAATAAGACGCTTAAAAATGTCTTTGAAGGTAGCTTAACAATTTGATGTACTACTTTAGAATTCAGAAGTCAAGGGTTCTCAACTTGATGCCCCTATGCCTGCTTTTGGCAAGCTGGGCACAAGTAGGATTACCTTTTCTAAAAAGACAGGAATTGCGTCTACTACAACAGCAGATGATCGAGGAAGGGCTTCCATCATGTATGTTAAGGCTCGACAAGCATGGTTCATCTAGAAAACAAGAGGGCATTTTTACTCAATAAAAACTCAACATTTAAAGTTGGAGTGTTTTTAAAAAATGCAGCATATACTTACAATATCAAAATTATGCTCCATCTGCAGTAATGTTATCTGTTAAAAAAGATTATAACAAAGTATTAGAAGCTGTCTATCTTCTTAGAGAAAAGCCCTAGAAGAAGTATTTCTTCCTCTACTTCAACTGAAATGGAAAGTATTATTCAAGTCTTTTGCCATATGAAAATAACATCACGTTAAAACCTAGCATGCATATACAAGAAATGCTTCTATTTATTAAGAGGGCATGACTCATACCCTGTAGCTCCGACTTGGGAACTTTGCTAGATAACCATCACCTCGTGATCCAGGTCAAAAACAAAGCGTTCCTGTTACTTCCAACCAAACTTTCTGGTACCTCTAATCCTCCTTCAGAAGCCCATTATAACATGTCACTGAGGACTTAACAGGTATTAATAAATACTGAATACCTAAATGAACACACCAGCAATGCACTGCCATTTGTTAAATTAACAACTGTCAATACAGATTCAAGACCATAGCTTTAACCGTTGTGAATAAGCTGCTCTAAAAGTTGAGCTAAGCCTCATTGAACTCAGCTGTAAAATACAAAGTAGTATAGGATTTAAACACAATACTGATATCAGAAACTAACTATGCACTAATTAAAGCCTGACTTAATATAATTATTCTACAAATCCATGAGTGAGTTAAATATACTATATAAATATACATATCGGATTTTATTTTATTTTAGTTTCTCTTGTGGAAAAGACCTTAAGCAGATTTCAACCATGTTTCTCAAAGGAGAGAATGCAAAACTGCTAGGGGTATATACACTCCATCCTTCTGAAGCAGCCAAAGCTATCAAAGAAACTTTCTACTTGGGGAAGCAGACAATCATCACAATCTTCTGGTCTTCAATGGAAAATTTTAAATGCACTGAATTTAAGCTATAAAGTACCCCACAATTAAATGTATATCTACAATAACAGACATAATATATTCTAATACAATACTCATTTAATATGAGTGTCTTCTCAGCTCTGAATTACGCTGGGTAAAATATATCTATACACCACAGGTTCTTATAACTAGTCTTGTTAAATACACACACACACACACTCCATTTCGGGATTGAACCATGTCTCAAATCACCTACAGTCAGTCACTTAAAATAATCACTCTAAATTGAAAGGGCTTGTCATGTTAACAGAAAAAGTAACAAATTCTCTAGTTCTTAAGGTGAAATGAACCTTATAAAACCACGTTTGGGAAGGATTGCTGTAAACAGATTGCCTTTCACCAAAAATGACTATGGTCACACAAGTGAATGGTGATAGACAGATATCACAATATTCAATTGTGATGAAAGATAAATCTGGACAATTCATTAACAACTGTCCTTATTAATAGTATGAGCTGACTTGTGCAGGTCTACTAAGTACTTAAACCTAATCAACAACCAGCAAATTAAGTAAATTGGATTATGTGAAATTTCTGCCTATATTTAATAGCATCTTTAACTAATAAAAAACTACATTTTAACAGTAGATAATATAAGGTAAACATAGTCCTTTGTGGCTACCTATTTTTTAATGAACAATAACAACAACAAAAACAGTTTAATTCAAGTAAGAGAAACCAGCTATTGAAGAAATCAGTAATTTGAGCATGAATATTAACATAGGCAAAATGTCCAAGTAGAAAGGCTAACATTGCTTTCACGAAACACTCAGAAATCACCAGGCAAGTCTTTATTACAGTAGAACTGGTAAAATTTGAGAGCTAGCTTTCATTATGTGGAGGTCTGAGTGGCGGAAGTCGAAGAAACTGGTCTATCCTTTATCAACCCCTGCCAAAGCCAAGGCATCCAACAAGTCAGAAAAGGCAGAATAAAGACTATGTCATCTTGTATTTGACTGGTCTTCACTCAGCTCTCTCCACAATCTGATAATGTGATCAAATGAGACAATCTGACATACCAACCACAATTTCATTTTGTCAACTTTATGCACATTTAACAAAGACTTACATGATATTTGTTTTTAACTTCCAAGGTAAAATATGCTGTGAATATATTCATGATGTTTATGTTAGTCTTTCATTAGTATTTCATTTCAGACTTCAATTTTAACCTTAAATTATAGCCAATTTCTTTAACCCTGGACTAAGAAAATTACCAAGCTACTATTTAAAGGACATATTATTCTCAAGGGTCTACATTTGGTAATGGCAATTTATCTTCCTGTTATTTTCATATTAAAAAGCTTAAGCAATTAAGATGTTAATAAATTCTAAATATCAACTCACAACTGTGTTGAAAATCATTAAAAGATTTTTTAAATTGTTTTTCTATTGGAAGTACTGTTGTTTTGTTTTGGTCTGTTTTTGCTTAAAATAAAACTTTTTAAGCTGGAAGGATCCATGTGGTGTTCTGGCTTAACTGCTTCACCATGCACACAATTATCAAACATGAAAACCGCTATGGCCCAAAAAGAGAACCTACCAGTGAGTTGCTTATTATTCTCTCATGTATCCCCAGATTAAAAGAGAAAGCTTGTAAGGCTTGGTATAGTAAGTCAGGGTATTATTATTACCTGACAGGGCTAAGAACTTACAATTTAAAACTAGTCATTTAAGTATCAAAGATGGGTTAACTATTCATCAAGAAATGGTTTAGAAAAGTAGTACTAACGCATCATTAGCAATCACTCACAATATTTATAAGCATAAAATAAAAGTACTAAGCCATACTCTGCTATCTCTTAGTTCTATCATGTTTTAAAATTCATAAGACAATAATCATGCTTTCAGTAAAAATACTGTCAGCATTCAGAGAAAAACTGAGGGAGGTAAAATGAAGGGAAAATTCTATCTTACCAAAGCTGGAACGACACTCTTGACAGGAAACCCTCCCAGTGTCTCCTCATTTCCCATGACCAATAACTGACACATTTCAATAACTGCCTGGAGTTGCTGACTTTCATCACTTGCTTGTAGTCCTTGCAGAAGCTGCTGGGCCTTAGAACCTTCAGAGGGGGGAAAAAATCATTATTTTTAAACATTTAAGAAAATTATTATTATTGGGGCCAGCCCCATGGCTTAGCGGTTAAGTGCGCGCGCTCCGCTGCTGGCGGCCTGGGTTCCATACCAGGCGCGCACCGACACACCGCTTCTCTGGCCATGCTGAGGTCGCGTCCCACATACAGCAACTAGAAGGATGTGCAGCTATGACGTACAACTATCTACTGGGGCTTTGGGGGAAAAAAAAAATTATTACTAGGTACAAGGTGTGACTCTACACGGTAGGTGGTTGCTTATCTTCTTTGGATCCCAAGTAAAAGCTAGGTCTATATACCAGGGTTAAGACAGGCTGCTAATAATTCAAGACAGAATTAAATTAGTTGGATTTACTCTGCCTTAAAGTGATCGCATAGTGTTTTTTTTTTTCTGGTGAGGAAGATCAGCACTGAGCTAACATTTGATGCCAATCCTCCTCTTTTTTTGCTGAGGAAGACTGGCCCTGGGCTAACATCCATGCCCATCTTCCTCTACTTTACACGGGACACCGCCACAGCATGGCCTGACAAGCGGTGCATTGGTGCACGCCCGGGATCCAAACCCGGGCCACCAGCAGCGAAGCGCGCACACTTAACCACTACGCCACGGAGCCAGCCCCTCATAGTTATTTTTGTCCTCTAATTTTCATCTTTTAAATGAGACAAGTTGATTGGTTTTTAATAGTTACAACAAAAAACAATATGCATAAGATTAATATAAACTGTTACCTTAAATATAGTGAGCAAAAGCTTTCTGTAATAATAAAAACCTGTTAAACAATGATGCCCAGACTTCAAAGGAAATGCTATATACCCCTAAATACTTGCATCAGAATGAGTGGAATCCAAGTAACAGTGAAAGGGCAAGTAAATGAAGACAAACAGCATAATGCATCTAACAAAAGACCATGGAAAGAATGGGGTATTTTCTAAAAACAGCAGAAGACTGGCCTTTTCACCTCCTCTCATTTCATGTGCAGATGCTGCTGAGTTACTTTAGAGTACTTCTCCTTTTAAGGCTCAATTCCGTTGCCCAAACAACTGAAAAATGCTAAGACTCAACTCCCACAGGGAACTAAGTTGACCTGAACAAGATACTCAAAAACAAAGTCTACATATGTTTCAAATTTTCATGGACAACCTTCTACTTGTAACCAATTAATGCTTACCAAATTTATACCTGATGTTACTTTCAAGCTCTTTCTCTTCTTATACCTTTTTCAGGGTAGTATTTGTATATTTGATTTTTCCAGTCCCATATCATTAAGTATTGAAACACTTAGAAATTACATATGTTTGGAAACCGTCAATAAGTGTGGAATTCATAGGAAAACCAAGGGTTTTTATTTCAATTAAATTTCAATGATCTTCCTGAAGGGCATAGGCCATTCAAAGGGATACACAGTGATCCTTACAAAGTTTGTTTTCTCTATTATTTAAGACTGTGGCTAATGAATTGCACAACTATCACTGCCTACCTTCCTTTACCATAACTAAGAATCCATCCAAAAACATATTGCAAGAAAGTCAAGTTTAGAGGGACATCATCTTTAAATTTTCAGACTAAATAATATCAGTTCCTGTTAGAGAAGGCTTAGCCTTTTTGTGTTGAAATATTGTGGAAGAAAAAACAAAATGAAGGAAAAGTAACTACTGAAAACAAAAGAATCTTCGGTTGCTTCTAGATTTGTTTTTTAAAGGATGAAATAGTTCATATAAAGTATGTACACTCTAATAGCACAACCACCTAAAATAGGAAAAACTGACACATATGCCATTGGATGTCTTATAAACATTGTGGCTGGCAATTCTAAGAACATGGGCATGATCAATCATCACCAATAACACTGAACTTTTGGAATGTTCCTAAAAAGATCTTATACCAAACTGAAAATGACAACAAAAAGCCAAAGCCATAATTTATCCTCCAATATATGAAGAGAAACCAGCTCCTAGATCTGTCGATTTTGGTTTTAGGACCATTTTATTCTCTTAAAAATTGGTGAGGAGCCCCAAAGCACTTCTGTTTGCATAATTTATATCTAATGGTATTTATTAAATGCATTTGGAATTAAACGAGAAAATTTTTAAATATTTGCTGATTCATTACATATTCATATAAACAAACTTTTTGTGAAAAACGACCATATATTCAAAAAAAAAAAAACCTTAGTGAAAAGTAGCATCATTGTTTTTTTGTTGCAAATTGTATTAATGTTAGGACTAATAAAAGACAGCTGTACACTCACCTCTGCTTCTACCCTTAATCTATAGCAGAATGTTGAGCTGAAATGTATGAAAAACTGGGGCCTATTTTGTCACAAAGATTATTAAAAAGATGTGTTATCTGTATAGACAAGAAAATTAATAACTTTGTTCAGCAAGGGCATCCTTATGTAAAAAAGAAATTATTTTTACTAGGAGTACACGGCATTGAAGACTAGAATGACTGCTAGTACAGACTGGTGCCACTGCTGTGATTCTTATTTAAGGTGCCAGCAGTTTTACCCACCACAGCTTTTGCACTATCAGCTCAAAGATCAACAAAGTAGAAAAGGAAAAACCTTAGTAATTATTATTAGTTTTGACCTTATGGATTCAATGAAAGGGTCTCAGGAACTGCGCAGGAGTCCAGGGACCACATTTTGAGAACCACTAACATAGATGAGAGGTTGGCAGCCAAACATTTTCTATAAAGAGCCAGATAGTAAGAGCTGTGGGCTTTGCAGGCAATAGGGTTTCTGTCTCAACTATTCAACTCTGCCACTGAGGCATGAAAGCAGACACAGAAAACGTAGATAAGCATGGCTGTATTCTGATAAAACTTTCTGTGGGGACACTGAAATTTGAGTTCATTTAATTTTCACATGTCACACAATATTACTCTTTTTTAAATTTTTTCAGCCATTTAAAAATGTAAAAATCATTTTTAGTTCACAGGCTCGGGCTGTGTAAAAACAAGAAGGAGGCCAGATGTGGCCACTGGGCAGTAGTTTGCTGACCGCTGATACAGAGGTGAAAGAGAACCCACAGCACGTCAGGGAATCATAAGAAGCTGATGTGTTCAATTGAAGTGGCCCCACCTGACATTCGCTGAGTTCTGGAGCTGTGAAGAGGGCTAGGCACTGAGTCAGAAGTTTTGATAACACAGAGTACGACCTCCTGTAGTCTCATGGTGCTCAGAAGACAAAGTCCCTGTGAAGTGAGGAGGCCTGCCTCACACACAGCCAGTGCCCCTACCCCTACGACATTTGCCACACATTGAAACCGCATAATGAATAAACTCTAAGTAGACAGAGACTTGCAAGGTTCTGAATCAAAGCTCTGGGAGGGTCACAAGAAAGAAATAAGGATGAGCCAGAGGTTTAAGGAGTCACACAAAAATTACAACTCTGGTCAAAACAAGTTAAAACTCTGACTGAAGCAAAGTGATCAGCTTCTGACCCTTTACGTTTAATAGAGCACAAGGCAAAACCCTCACTAGTAGGAAATATTACTTGTGGTTCTTTGGTTCTTCTATACAAAATGTCCAACACATCATCAAAAAATTACTAGACATATGAAGAGGCAGGAATATGTGACTGATAATCAAGAGGGAAAAAAAGACAATAGAAACAGACCAACACCACTAGAATTAAAAGACAAGTATTTTATAACTATGACTAATAAACTGAAAATACAAGAAAAGAGGGACAAAATGGATAAGAATGTAAAGAATTTCAACAAAAAATTAGAATCTACGAAAAAAAATAAAATAACTGTCTAGAACTGGAAAACAAAACATCTGAAATTAAAAACTCACTGATGGGAGAGTGATGTCAGCGTCATGACGGAGTGAGCTTTCCCGTAAACTTTTCCGCTGATAAGATACAAGAAAAGGAACAGTCACAGACCAACAATGGAATCCTAGACAGTGGAAAGCAAGATCAGAAAGATCCACACTGCCACACATCTGAGAGTGGAACGTGCTGGGCCCCCAGAGGAGGTGGGAGAGGTGAGGAGAACTCCTCTCCCTCCCCATCAGATCAGCTATCCTGGTCCGTGCAGCTCCCAGAGAGGGGGGAGGGGCGGCCCTCTGCGGGGAAACCGTAGCTCTTCGGGCTCTCTCAGCCAGTGGGAAACTCCCACACAGAGGACTCAGAATACCCACAGCGCCACCATCAACATCTGAGTATCCCAGGAGAGCAGATAACGAGGGGCAAACAAGAAGCCCCCCATGCCAGAGACCCAGCAGGCAAAAAAGAGAGGCCCCCCGGCTCCAATCAAGTGAGACCCTGCAGCTCAGCAGACCAGACCAGACCAAGCGACCGGCGGATCGCAGTGAACAACAGCGGCAGAAGGCAGCGGGCTCAGATTACACAGCCCTTTACTCCCACACAGTGGCAGCGGGTGAAAATTGCAACTAGATATTTCCAGGATGAGGAAAAACAAAGCCAATACAGGAACCACAATGCAAAGGTACACGAAAATCACCAGAAATCATCCATAAACCAACCCTGAAGACACAGAAATCCATAATCTAAACGACAGAGATTTCAAAATAGCTATCATAAAAAAACTCAACGAAATGAGACAACACACACAAACAATTCAATGAGATTAAGAGTTTCTTCACAAAAGAGATTGAAATCATAAAGAAAAACCAATCACTGCTGATGGAGATGAAGAACACAATGGAGGAGATAAAGGAGAATCTGGAATCTTTAAAGAACAGAGCTGACAATATGGAGGAAGGAATTAGCATTAGAGAGGATAGGAATACACATATGCTCCAGATGGAAGAGGAGAAGAGAACTAAGACTTAAAAGAAATGAAGAAAGTCTCTGAGAAATATCTGACTCTATTAAGCAATGTAACATAAGAATTATAGGTATTCCTGAGGGAGAAGAGAGGTAAAGACGAACAGGGAGCCTATTCAAAGAAATAATAGCTGAAAACTTCCCAAACCTGGGGAAGGAGCAGGAAATACC